GAAGGAATATAATAGTATAGCGAACTCCTTTAATAACAAATATATACTGGCCATAAAAATTAACGACATACGCAAATTGTGTAGTATCTTTGTTTGTTTTGTTATTTAAAAGTGCGGGCATGTAATTGAAATGAAAATGAATCTGCTCGTATGGAGGTCAATCGTCAATTAGTGGTCAGTGTCCATCACAGAGTTCCTTGGGGAGAAGTGATTGTGTATGATTTAATATACCTGATAGGCTCCGCCCACAAGTCACAAAAAGATAATGCAGTCGAGATAAAACACGTTCGCTAATGCAATGTAGAAGATACTAAGACGAAGATGTAATGTAACTAGTGCAATTTAAAAAACAATTATGCTTTGTTCAATGTACAATGTCGAAAGTGAAAGGAAATTGCACGTATCATTTTAGGTATTGTGTCGGTGGTTTTATGTAATTTAACATTTGCATTATGAATTAGACGTATTATGACATAAGTAAAAGAGGTATTTTGTCTTTGAACATTGCACAGATGTATCGTGTCGTATGTATTAGACATAAGTACATAGCATCTAATTCTGAATACGACTGATCTCTGTCCATAATAACTATCAGAGACCAGATATAGAGTCAGTAAGTTCAGACTGATCTCTGTCAATAATAACTATCAGAGATCAGATATAGAGTCAGTAAGTTTCAGATTGACCTCTATCAATAATAACTATCAGAGACCAGATATAGAGTCAGTTAGTTTCAGACTGACCTCTGTCAATAATAACTATCTGAGATCAGATATAGAGTCAGTAAGTTTCAGACTGACCTCTGTCAATAATAACTATCTGAGATCAGATATAGAGTCAGTAAGTTACAGACTGACCTCTGTCAATAATAACTATCTGAGATCAGATATAGAGTCAGTATGTTTCAGACTGACCTCTGTCAATAATAACTATCTGAGATCAGATATAGAGTCAGTAAGTTACAGACTGACCTCTGTCAATAATAACTATCTGAGATCAGATACAGAGTCAGTTTCAGACTGACCTCCGTAAATAATAACTATCAGAGATCAGATATAGAGTCAGTAAGTTTCAGACTGACCTCTGTCAATAATAACTATCTGAGATCAGATATAGAGTCAGTAAGTTTCAGGCTGACCTCTGTCAATAATAACTATCAGAGATCAGATATAGAGTCAGTAAGTTTCAGACTGACCTCTGTCAATAATAACTATCTGAGATCAGATATAGAGTCAGTAAGTTACAGACTGACCTCTGTCAATAATAACTATCATAGATCAGATATAGAGTCAGTAAGTTTCAGACTGACCTCCGTAAATAATAACTATCAGAGATCAGATATAGAGTCAGTAAGTTACAGACTGACCTCTGTCAATAATAACTATCTGAGATCAGATATAGAGTCAGTAAGTTACAGACTGACCTCTGTCAATAATAACTATCTGAGATCAGATATAGAGTCAGTAAGTTACAGATTGACCACTGTCAATAATAACTATCAGAGATCAGATATAGAGTCAGTAAGTTTCAGACTGACCTCGTCAATAATAACTATCAGAGATCAGATATAGAGTCAGTAATTTTCAGACTGACCTCTGTCAATAATAACTATCAGAGATCAGATATAGAGTCAGTAAGTTACAGACTGACCTCTGTCAATAATAACCATCAGAGATCAGATATAGAGTCAGTAAGTTTCAGACTGACCTCTGTCAATAATAACTATCAGAGATCAGATATAGAGTCAGTAAGTTACAGACTGACCTCTGTCAATAATAACTATCAGAGATCAGATATAGAGTCAGTAAGTTACAGACTGACCTCTGTCAATAATAACTATCAGAGACCAGATATAGAGTCAGTAAGTTACAGACTGACCTCTGTCAATAATAACTATTGGAGGTCAGATATAGAGTCAGTAAGTTACAGACTGACCTCCGTAAATAATAACTATCAGAGACCAGATATAGAGTCAGTAAGTTACAGACTGACCTCTGTCAATAATAACTATTGGAGGTCACTATTTTGCACTAGTTAGAAACATTAGGAACAAACTTAGAAATAAAAAACAACACAAACAATGTATAAAACATTAAAAAAAATGGCGACATGTTATTATCACCTTGTTGTTATCAGCCCAAATAAAAATGATTGACCAGATTTGAACATGTCCATGGGAAGAAAAATGTACCTATTTTAAAGGAACAGTATGCAAGAATATTATTTATCAAAAAGATTGTAATAATAACCAAGTACCAACGATAGTAACACGAAATCCAAAACAATATATTGGCGAAACATTGGTAAAAGCTAATGAACTTTTCACATGACCAAAAATAACAATCATACTTGAGTAAGTATTTCATAATGAAAAGTGGTATAAGGTGTCTAGAAGAGTAAGCATACCCTGCCACACCCGTCATAGCTTCTCAATATACACAACAAACACTACAAGCAGGGAGGCAACAACAAAACAATAGTGACTTGACCCATCAATTCCAAGTCAGGGAACTTAAAGTTATTTTTATTTAACTCTAACAGTTCAAGGGCGGGTCCTCGCCTCGTTGAGACACCTCTAATTTTTCCGCCCCTCGCCCCCGCCAATAATTTGACAATATTAAAACAAAGGCCAGTTTAATGTCAGGTAGTTTTTAGCAAACAAAACCAACATTAATTTAGCGAGGATTACGATTAGAATGGATGTAATTAAAAAACAAAGGAGGTCTCTACAATTACAAAGAGGGTTGCTCGGCTCCCCTTCATCCATGGTGTCTAAAATATCACTGTTTACCCTCCTTTCACCCAAACTTCTGGCTTTTTCTATACATCTCAGTTCAGTTAACGATCCAGTCAAAATCACTGCTGGTATTTCTCCTTCATTGAAATTCTCCTCGCTGAAAGGAAAAGTTTCACGATACAGAACGAACGTATCTTTAGCTGGTATATCAAAATGAATTATTCGCTATCTCGGTGGTATTGAATGAAAACTACTCATAACACTTTTCAGAGTGAAAATCCAACTTATGGTTTGTATACAATTAAATAAGAGTGTAATTTAAGGTAATTACATCACTATATGCGTTTAGGGGAGATGTGATTCGGCTAAGATTGTCGTTGCCTCTCCAATTTAGAGCAGCAGACGACCTGAAAGGCTTGTCTTTTTTTAAAATCACGCCAGAAACTAACAGAGTAAAATAACTATCAGAGGCTAAAGTCCACGTGAGAAAGTTCTCCTTGTCAAGAATGTCAGCACCATCTCTTAGAACTCTTGTAGCAATACATCATATCTAAACCACGCCCCCATAACTTCCCTGATATTAAATAATGATCAACTACTATTCTGATACCATGACAATCATATCCTGAACATGGTATCTTTTTTTTAACATAGTCCTAGAGATGGTATAACGAAAAGGGGTGTGGTTTGGACATGGTGATACCATGGTAACAATATTGAAGGCTTGTCAATCAACAACAATTCTATGATAGTTTTATTGATGATTATAATTATTTATGTGCAGATTTCAAATTACCATTTTGCATCAAAGAAAAAATATAAAGAAATACACGAAAATATTAAAAGTTATTATATTAGTGTGGAAATCCATCCAGTCGTGAAAACAGGCAGTGTGAGGACAACAAACAGTGTAAACAAATATTGTCAACAAACATTGTCAACAAACATTGTCAACAAACATTGTAAACTAACATTCTAAACTAACATTGCCAACATCTATTGAAAAATAAAATTGAAAACAAACATTTTCAACGAACATTGTAAACAAACATTGCAAACAAATATTGTAAACAAACATTGTCAACAAACACTGTCAAGAGAGAAAAGGAGAGGAGAGGAGAGGAAAGGAGAGGAGAGGAAAGGGGATGAGAGGAAAGGAGAGAAGAGGAGAGGAGAGGAGATGAGAGGAGAGGAGAGGAGAAGAGAGGGGTGAGATATCATCACCATGTATTTCGTCTTTATCTTAGAGATGTCAATGTAATTTTTGAAGTTTGTAAAAATAGCGATTTGATTGGATTGTTCACAACTAATCAGAGTCATTGACAGAAGGATGATATCGAGGGCTCTGATTGGCTGTATTCAGTGGCGTACAATCCAATCAAATCGTTGACCATGTCACAAAAACGTCATTAAGTGAAGATGGGGGCTGTTCAAACAATAGTATTACCATAGAAATTATCATTATAATGAAAGTGTTTTAGTTAATATTCAAAAAGAAAAACTTAACGGCACCATAACCTGCATGGATAAAATCAAAATAAAATGTCAAAAGAGAAGCTATTGAGCTATTTACTAGAGCTACTATTTATTAAGCTAAATATACTAAAGCTAATATTTATTGACCTAAATATACTAAAGCTAATATTTATTGACCTATATATACTAAAGCTAATGTTTATTGACCTATATATACTAAAGCTAATGTTTATTGACCTATATATACTAAAGCTAATGTTTATTGACCTATATATACTAAAGCTAATATTTATTGACCTATATATACTAAAGCTAATGTTTATTGACCTATATATACTAAAGCTAATGTTTATTGACCTATATATACTAAAGCTAATGTTTATTGACCTATATATACTAAAGCTAATATTTATTGACCTATATATACTCAAGCTAATATTTATTGACCTATATATACTCAAGCTAAACTATATTGACCTATATATACTCAAGCTAAACTATATTGACCGATATATACTAAAGCTAATATTTATTTACCTATATATACTCAAGCTAATATTTATTGACCTATATATACTCAAGCTAATATTTATTGACCTATATATACTAAAGCTAAACTATATTGACCTATATATACTCAAGCTAAACTATATTGACCTATATATACTAAAGCTAATATTTATTTACCTATATATACTCAAGCTAATATTTATTTACCTATATATACTCAAGCTAAACTATATTAAGCTATATCAATATCAGCAAAATAAACTAAAGCCAAGGGAGATTAATCGTCTAATAGATCATACAAACAATCGTCAGCAAATCGTAGCATTTGTTGAAGTGAAAGTAGAGCGTATCTATCCACCGTTTCGTTTAATTCTGTTTCCTTCTCGTAATTTTTAACTGGTAAAACATGGCCTCTTGGTAGCCCTATTAACTGGGAAACTTTATCTACCACCTCGGCAACTTCACGAGAATAAAATAAATTAGACAAATTTTCTTTCACTTCTTGAGAAATCTCGTCAACTTTTGTTAAAATAATGACTTGAGGTATTCCTAAAATATAATAGATAAATCACAAAATAGCAATAAAACTATTTTACTATTTCTTTTAAATCTTAAATTATTTCAATATATAGGTTAAATCAAATGGCTCAACAAATGTAAAATACTGAACGAAATAATCCTGACTAAAAAAGAAAATAACACAAACCTACCTCTCTGATTGGCTAATTTCTGTATCATTTTAAACTGTTTTAAAATAGATTCATTCATAACGTCGACTGAAGTTCCATCAATAATAAACGCTGAACAATGTATTTTATCATTTAAACTCGGTGTTTTTATATATCCCGGAGTTTCTGGTGTGATCGCAGCAAAAGGGTTAAACTGAAAATCAGATAGGAGACTTTAAAGGGATTGTAAAGAGGTTTACTAAAAGCTGTTTGTGTATCGAGGACACTAACATCAATTTGGGAAGCGGAAGTGACGACGATCTGAACACTTCACTTGATATTGATATTATGACCGTGTTTATACCATGACCAGTCGACAACTGTATAGATAGCTGAATTTAAGTTCTATCAGCTTGTAAAGTAAATAACTAGGTGACTATATAGATAGCTGAAATTGAGCTCTATCAGCTGGTAAAGTAAATATTTAGATGACTATATAGATAGCTGAAATTGATCTCTATCAGCTGGTAAAGTATAAATTTAGATGACTATACAGATAGCTGAAATTAAGCTTTATCAGCTGGTAAGGTAAATATTTAGATGACTATACAGATAGCTGAAATTTAGCTCTATCAGCTGGTAAGGTAAATATTTAGATGACTATACAGATAGCGGAAATTGAGCTCTATCAGCTGGTAAAGTAAATATATAGATAACTATAAAGATAGCTGAAATTGAGTTCTATCAGCGAGTAAAGTAAATATTTAGATGACTATAAAGATAGCTGAAATTGAGTTCTATCAGCTGGTAAAGTAAATATTTAGATAACTATACAGAAAGCTGAAATTGAGTTCTATCAGCTGGTAAAGTAAATATTTAGATGACTATACAGATAGCTGAAATTTAGTTCTATCAGCAGGTAAAGTAAATATTAAGATGACTATAAAGATAGTTGAAATTGAGTTCTATCAGCGAGTAAAGTAAATATTTAGATGACTATAAAGATAGCTGAAATTGAGTTCTAACAGCTGGTAAAGTAAATATTTAGATGACTATACAGATAGCGAAAATTGAGTTCTATCAGCTGGTAAAGTAAATATTTAGATGACTATACAGATAGCTGAAATTGAGTTCTATCAGCAGGTAAAGTAAATATTAAGATGACTATAAAGATAGCTGAAATTGAGTTCTATCAGCGGGTAAAGTAAATATTTAGATGACAATAAAGATAGCTGAAATTGAGTTCTATCAGCTGGTAAAGTAAATATTTAGATAACTATACAGATAGCTGAAATTGAGCTCTATCAGCTGGTAAAGTAAATATTAAGATGACTATATAGACAGCTGTAATTGAGCTCTATCAGCTGGTAAAGTAAATATTTAGATGACTATACAGATGGCTGAAATTGAGCTCTATCAGCTGGTAAAGTAAATATTTAGATGACTATACAGATGGCTGAAATTGAGCTCTATCAGCTGGTAAAGTAAATATTTAGATGACTATATAGGTAGCTGAAATTGAGTTCTATCAGCTGGTAAAGTAAATATTTAGATGACTATACAGATAGCTGAAATTGAGTTCTATCAGCTGGTAAAGTAAATATTAAGATGACTATATAGACAGCTGAAATTGAGTTCTATCAGCTGGTAAAGTAAATATTTAGATGACTATATAGACAGCTGTAATTGAGTTCTATCAGCTGGTAAAGTAAATATTTAGATGACTATACAGATAGCTGAAATTGAGTTCTATCAGCTGGTAAAGTAAATATTTAGATGAGTATACAGATAAATAACCTACTGAATATTTATTCGGCATGTGTCCATCTAACATAGCAGTAATATCTTCAGGATCTACCCCTTGGGACTCCTCCAGACCTCGTGTATCACATAATCTTAATTTCAAATATTTCGACCCATTTCTTATTTGATAACTTCTAAACTGTAAAAACAAAACCTTTTTATATGATGTACTTTCTTTTCCTGTCCTTGATCCTTTTCCTGTTCATGGTCATTATTCTATCTTGGGTCCGGTCCTTGTCCTGTCCTGTCTTGGTCCTTTTACTGGTCCTGTTCTCGTCTTGTCCTGCCCCGTCCTCTAGTAGGTCGTCTAGTCCTTGTCCTGTCCTGTTCTTGTCCGGTTCTTGGTCCTCTCCTTGGTCTGTCCTTGGTCGTCTGGTCATGTCTTATCAATTATTCCCATAGTATACTTCTATTATCATTCCATTCATCGTCTCATTCCATCTATCCAAATATCTAATTACTAACCTTAGTGGTTAAACTATGTTCAGCACTTCCGGCAGCAGCTTGACTAGTCACGTGACCTCTGAATACAGAATTGATGGTATTGAAATAACTTGATTTACCGGCGCCTACACATCCAACCATTAGAATTCTACATTGGTCAACATCGCCTCCTTGTATTGGTTTATAATCTTCTACAGTTTTCTTGATTGTGGCCTGTTTACAAAGATAGCTTGTCAGACAAAGTAATATACACCCACCGGCAGCTTTGATTTTGAGTAAAAATATTTGGCAGTACAGTAACAATCACCAGTATGAAATATTCAACCTTCAGTCATACATTTCTTTTGAACTTTTTGGGTTTATGCTGAATATTACCAAGTTTTATCAAATTCCGACAAGAATCATGCCTTTTAGAGTGCGTGCCTCCTAGATTTACGAACTAAAAATTGAACGTGTTTTCACGAACAAGTACGATAACTAAATATTTTTTTGATTTTTCTGATTTTCAGCCTTGGGTGATTACAAACAATCACACCAAGTTTCGTCAAAATCTATCAAGAATTGTGTCATCTTGAATGTTTACGAGCAATTGTGGACGGGCAGACGGACGGACTGACACGGGTGATGCTAATATACGCCCCCATTGCATGTTTACGTTTTCGTGTTTACAAATCTGTCGGATAGATTTTTAAGGCTTGTGATAAAATTTGGAATCAATTCCTTTATAAATCATTATGACTTACAGTTTTTTCTTGAATTTCTTGTCGCCATGGTTCGTCTACAACATCTAATTCGTCTACAAAGAAAATAATCAAGGTGAAAAAGGTAGCTTATTGATCCTAACCACCTAAATTATACCATGAAATTCATCATGTTTCTTTCTTGACCAGTTCTTAGCTCTTACTAACAAAGTTGTTACTCACCTACTATCTGATAAACTTCGACTTCTTTGTAATTAAAATTATTATTACAATAAGTGGCTGGGGGGACATAGCCTGAATTATAAGCACCATTAGACTGAAACACTCCATTGGTTTTACTAGTAGGGTCCTTGAAGCACACGAATGTTCCAAACGATGGTCCCTGCTTTGGATACTGATAGATTTTTATTTGGGAGCCTAGAGAGCTTTGAACCCACTTATTAGTATATGTAGTCTTATTTTTCCCATACAAGGTGAAAATAAACGCTGATGTATCTTGGACTGTGGTGTTGGTGCTCTTCCAATCTATTGCGGTATATCCACCAAAAACACAACCATCAGTATTCCAACAGATTGTTACAGTAGCTCCTTTATTGTCACATTTCTTATGAAATACATCTGCCGAGAGACCATCTATAGTGGCTTTATAGATTCTTTTTAGATGTTTTGTAGTTTTTATCCAGGTTAGAAGCTGGGTCTTGTCGGATTCCGTGAGTGTCGCCATTTCCCTGGAAGAAAAAAAACACCATAAAGGTGGGAATAGCCGATGTACGATGTCCGGTGTGCTGTTTCTTAAACTTGTCACCACATAATGGTATGTATTTGTTGATGCATTATTGTGTTATGATGTTGCTTTTTTCAAACTTGTTTATGTATACACTATATTTTTTGTATAACTATTAATTGATGTCAGTATGTCATATTTGTATCACTTATTATTATGTATTATCTTGTATCATGATGTATGCTGCCCAAAAAGGGCGAACAATACAATAAATAAATATCTATCTATCTATCTATCTCAAGTTTCATAATTGAAACATGAAGCCTATACATGTATGTAATTGCTTCACGGATTTTATATAACGACTATTGTTATAGGAGTTTACAATTCAAATATAAGCCGCAGTTATCAAATCTAACATACAGTTTACCAGTAGGCCTACATTATATATACAGACAGTTTTAAATAGGGTGTGGTGTAATAGGCGTTCCGGTAATCGGTCTTGTTGCGATTTTACTGCATCGTGACTGTAAAGTGTCCGGACGTTATACCACGTCTATACGATTCTTTCATTCTCAACTGTATCGATGATCTCATATCGTAGGCCTACACCGGATACCGTATACGGATAACATGCCTTTTTTGCATCTATAATTTCAATCCTAAGTAGTAGGGGTTTAAATTTTAGTTTATTAATGAGATGTTCACAATTTATCAAGGGTTTCACCCCTCCATTATTTATTATTCAATTATATAATTTTCATATTCACATTGTGTAGTCTCCTAGTGTCAAATAAAGTTTATATATTAGTGTTTTGTTATAAACTCCAACGTGAACACAACTCTTTCAATGAAGCAATAAGGTGAGAATAGACTACGTGAGATAACAGGTGCGGCGTACGATGAGGGAAAATTGATGAAGCAAAGACACAAGCTACGCCATACAGATCTCGACATGAAAAATCTGCGTCTATACCTTCCTGACAGCTAATCTACTGTTGTCGACTGGAAAAGAGGCAGCTGTTTCGGTCTATATACGATCACGATTGTCATCTTCTCTTGTCGAATTCTCATATTAAACTCGTGTTTTTGAATTCTTATATAATATAATAAGTATTAAGTTATTATCCTATCTAGTCAAAGACAAAATAAAATAGCTTATATAATGATACTGAAGCTTGAGAAAATTGAAATACTCACCTGTAATAAATGCGATAACTTTAAAATCTATTCGAAATATATAACTTCCTTCTAACCTTTATATTATATTACTCAATCTTATTGCTGAGAAAATTGTTATTTTTCTAGGAAATTAGGGCTGGTTATTTATAGGCCCAAATTGTAGTTTTACGATATGATATCGATAGACTAAACATCTGAATTTGCACAGTAAGACAAAATGGAAAGTAATAAAGTTTTGAACGAAAACTACCCAAATTGTGAGGAGTCAAAAATGAGTTAAAAAAGAAAAATAGAGTGGTAGCCTTCTATTTGCTGGCTTCAGTTGGATTTATTTTAAGTCGGATATTGTCAAGTTTAAATTGAAACAGTTTGAAACTGTACAAATTACCATGTTTAGCCTACAATCGTTTAATTCTACTCCGACCAACTTGTGATTGCGTTTAGGCTACCTTTACCATTTATTTTTTTTAATGTTTACAAATGGCATCTCCAACAAGTTATATCAGTTTATATTTGTATCTTTATCCGCTGATGCAATCAACAATTGCGAAATTACGCGGAAAAGGAGGATGTCGCTTATGAGGCATGCGCAGTAAAGCGTTCTCAGAACGGTTACCGTTTACATTACACCAAATTATAGAGTCCGTTTCGAGGACCGTTCCGATACCATCTCTACGTCTCTACGAGGTGGGCCAGAATTGGAACTTTTCTCAGAATGCTTCTGAGAACGGATAAATTTCCCAATGCAAAAGGGGTTTTAGACAAAATATTATACAAATCATTACAGTTTGATTGAAGTCGATCATATATATATATATATATATATATATATATATATATATATAAGTATATACACTGAAAGGCAAAAGAAACATCACTTGGGTGTATAATATATGTTTCTTTATTTTCGAATGTTTATATCTGCAAGTAAAGACACTGGAGAAAGTCGGTGTTTGACACTCATCAAAATTAACAGTATAAACAATGTTTTTGCGAATTGTGAACTTGCAGAGGCATCAGAAGACATCACAGCTGGGGGTCCAAAATCAGTACCTGGTGGCGACTACAGCAACACATCTTCTGTACATGGAGTGGACTAGCCGGTTGATGGGGGCCATTGGTATCTGGGTCCATATCCTCAGGAACGTTACACGCAGTTCTTCTGAAGTTGTCGACATTGGGCGCACTTCAATGAGTTGGCGTTAGATCTCATCCCACAAGTTTTTTAATTGGATTCAAATCCGGACTGTGGGGTCTGAGGACATCGTCACTGTATAGCGGAGAGTTATTCCATTACCCCTGCTTGGACCAATATTCTGAAACACCACAGGCCCCACTCTCTGGTTCAGTCCAAATCCACCTTGATGCTTGGACCGCCCCACGAGTCCCGTTCTATGATACAAACATCAGCATAACGTTCACCCCTCCTTCGCCAGACTCTGAGTCTGGCATCCACAGTGGAAATATAGTAACGACTTTCATCGGTGAAGATGATTCTTCTCCATTCCTGTTGACGCCAATTCTGATGCTGCCCAGCCCATTGCAGTCGGGCCAGTCCGGATGGGTCCACGAGGAAGACGGCGGCAGGAGATGTCAGACTCTCCGATCACTGATTGGTGGTTGTCTGTGTGTGGTAACTATGCGGACGGTCGTTGGTGGTGTTGGTGGTGTTGAAGCGATGTTACAAACGATGTATCGTTCTGACATTGAATGCATTTGCAACAACCTGTGCATTCTGTCCTGCTTGCAGTCTTACGATCGCTTGTTGTCTCTCATTTCCTGATAATCGTGGCATGGCTGATAAATCAAATAGTGAATGTAAGCCTGACGATTTTGTCCACGATATTCACGTGCATCATGATTTTGACGATACTTTTCAGCAACTTGGTCCCATTTCACTTTTGAAGACTGCGTTTGGGCAAACCACTCCATTTTAAACACAACTGAACTTTAAGCCAACAAAAGGACCAGTAGAATGTTAAATCTAAATTAGTTGACTAAAAAACACGACCGAACCGTGAAATGTGATTAAAAACATTAAGTCCATAAGATCATCCTCCATCTTGTCACCTTGGTGACAATTATTATCACCTATAGGTGAAAAATAAAGTTTTTAATTCCAAATTACACGAATTATCACCTAATTTACACCTAGTTGAAAATAATTATCATCAAGATGGAAATTAACGTTTTAAATTCAAAATAAAAAGTGAGAGATGTCGTATATGAACCACCGTACATTCCGGTTAATTTTGTAGGTCGAAAATCTTTTTGGTTCAAATTTATGAAAACAATACACCAAATAATAGATGTATTTATAAAGCACTGAACTCCACTCTACATGGAGAGAGCTTACAATGTATTGGACCTACAAAAAACGAGTTTATGTCTGTCTCCATGGGCTGAATGTTTGAGAAGACCATTTCCTTGTGTATTGGACCCTATGCTGACCCATGTAAAGCAGATTGCGATACGATAGAAGTGAGACACCATTGATCTAAACTATTTTGACCAACTAGCTAGCAGATTGTGACATGATAGCAGTGAGACATCATTGATCTAAACCATCGTGTCAAACTAGCTAGCAGATTGTGACATGATAGCAGTGAGTCACCATTGATCTAAACCATCGTGTCAAACTAGCTAGCAGATTGTGACATGATAGCAGTGAGCCACCATTGATCTAAACCATCGTGTCAAACTAGCTAGCAGATTGTGACACGATAGCAGTGAGCCACCATTGATCTAAACCATCGTGTCAAACTAGCTAGCAGATTGTGACACGATAGCAGTGAGCCACCATTGATCTAAACCATCGTGTCCAACTAGCTAGCAGATTGTGACACGATAGCAGTGAGCCACCATTGATCTAAACCATCGTGTCAAACTAGCTAGCAGATTGTGACACAATAGCAGTGAGCCACCATTGATCTAAACCATCGTGTCCAACTAGCTAGTAGATTGTAACATGGTAGCAGTGAGCCACCATTGATCTAAACCATCGTGTCAAACTAGCTAGTAGATTGTAACATGATAGCAGTGAGCCACCATTGATCTAAATTATCATGTCCAACTAGCTAGTAGATTGTAACATGGTAGCAGTGAGCCACCATTGATCTAAACCATCGTGTCAAACTAGCTAGTAGATTGTAACATGATAACAGTGAGCCACCATTGATCTAAACCATCGTGTCCAACTATAGCTATATAGCATTCTAAGAAAGAGTGACGTAAAAAACTTCTTCAAGCAGACAATATAATCCTAAATATCTTCTAGAATAGTAAGTTAAACTTCCTTTTATTTCCAGATTTGCTGATATTTATAAAAGGAAAAGGAAATTGTTTTTGATATTTCTGTTTATCTCTACCACTGTAATGTATTTATGGTTGGTTTTGACTCTACTCGATATTTTAACATTTAATACAAGTAGGTATTTTAATATACTTTCTGAAGGTTTTCAATTTGTCTTGTCTCCCTGTAGCTATGGGACGGGATTAAGAGCGAGCTTTGTTTTATATTTCAGAAAGTCTGTTTGCCTCCAATGTATTAGCGAGTTTATTAAAGTTTAACGGTGCCACATCTCCGATATTTTATGAACTGTGCTGTGAGATAACCTATCCAGTAGACGAGTGTATCACCGCCGTTATCCTAACTTTACCAAGTTCTATAGTCTCTCTTATTTCCCTTGGGACTATTCTACGTACCGAACATTGGTAGGTATACAAGCATAATGAGATTAATTTTACAAATTCTTCTGTATATCTGATAATTATCGACCCCATTGTAATCTAACATGTTTTCTACCACTGTCCCATTCTAATGACGTTATTTTTTTTAACCAAACCAAGTGTGTTATCTAGAACCCGTGTTTTGATGCATGATCCTACCCCGACCCCTAGAGGCACCAACATTACAATCTTTGTGAAAATATGTATTTTATTTTTGTTATAATATTGAGAGAATATGCTGGATTTACGCCCTTTCACACGAACAGAGCGTTAGACATAGATCATTACATTAACGATTGAATTCAAAATAGATACACTTGGTATTTCAGGTACGATGTGGATGAATTACGCCTTGTTATCAACCTACGGTCTAGGAACAATAGCCTTACTGTTTCTTGTCGAGATCCACTCCCGACTGGATGTAGACGAACAGAAGATAAAATAATTTCTCAAAGTCTTGTATTTGTTAAGGGGTGCGATCCTCTTAATACACGTGTTTGCTTTACCGATTTGTCTAATAATAATAATAATAATAATAATGATAATAATAAACTCAGCCATTGAATACAGATTACAGAAAAATCATCAAAATTAAAACAAAGGCCAGTTTAATGTCAGGTAGTTTTTAGCAAACAAAACCAACATTAATTTAGCGAGGATTACGATTAGAATGGATGTAATTAAAAAACAAAGGAGGTCTCTACAATTACAAAGAGGGTTGCTCGGCTCCCCTTCATCCATGGTGTCTAAAATATCACTGTTTACCATCCTTTCACTCAAACTTCTGGCTTTTTCTCTACATCTCTGTTCAGTTAACGATCCAGTCCAAATCACTGTTGGTATTTCTCCTTCATTGAAATTCTCCTCGCTGAAAGGAAAAGTCTCACGATACAGAACGAACGTAGCTGGTATATCAAATGAATTATTCCCTATCTCCTTGGCATGATGTGATTCGGCTAAGATTGTCGTTGCCTCTCCAATTTAGAGCAGCAGACGACCTGAAAGGCTAACAGAGTAAAATAACTATCAGAGGATAAAGTCCACGTGAGAAAGTTCTCCTTGACAAGAATGTCAGTACCATCTCTTAGAACTCTTGTAGCAATACATCATATCTAAACCACGCCCCCATAACTTCCCTGATATTAAAATATGATCAACTACTATTCTGATACCATGACAATCATATCCTGAACATGGTTTCTTTTTTTAACATAGTCCTAGAGAAAGTATAACGAAAAGGGGTGTGGTTTGGACATGGTGATACCATGGTAACAATATTTAAGGCTTGTCAATCAACAACAATTCTATGATAGTTTTATTGATGATTATAATTATTTATGTGCAGATTTCAAATTACCATTTTGCACCAAAGAAAAAATATAAAGAAATACACGAAAATATTAAAAGTTATTATATTAGTGTGGAAATCCATCCAGTCGTGAAAACAGGCAGTGTGAGGACAACAAACAGTGTAAACAAATATTGTCAACAAACATTGTATACAAACATTGTCAACAAACAATGTCAACAAACATTGTCAACAAACATTGCCAACATCTATTGAAAAATAAAATTGTAAACAAACATTGTCAACGAACATTGTAAAAAAACATTGCAAACAAATATTGTAAACAAACATTGTCAACAAACACTGTAAACTAACGTTGCCAAGAGAGGAAAGGAGAGGAGAGGAGAGGAGAGGAAAGGGGATGGGAAGAAAGGAGAGAAGAGGAGAGGAGAGGAGTGAGAGGAAAGGAGAGAAGAGGAGAGGAGAGGAGGAGAGGAGAGGAGAGGAGAGGAGAGGAGATGAGATAAGAGGAAAGGAGAGAAGAGGAGAGGAGATGAGAGGAGAGGAGAAGAGAGGGGTGAGACATCATCACCATGTATTACGTCTTTATCTTAGAGATGTCAATGTAATTTTTGAAGTTTGTAAAAATAGCGATTTGATTGGATTGTTCACAACTAATCAGAGTCATTGACAGAAGGATGATATCCAGGGCTCTGATTGGCTGTATTCAGTGGCGTACAATCCAATCAAATCGTTGACCATGTCACAAAAACGTCATTAAGTGAAGATGGGGGCTGTTCAAACAATAGTATTACCATAGAAATTATCATTATAATGAAAGTGTTTTAGTTAATATTCAAAAAGAAAAACTTAACGGCACCATAACCTGCATGGATAAAATCAAAATAAAATGTCAAAAGAGAAGCTATTGAGCTATTTACTAGAGCTACTATTTATTGACCTATATATACTAAAGCTAATGTTTATTGACCTATATATACTAAAGCTAATGTTTATTGACCTATATATACTAAAGCTAATGTTTATTGACCTATATATACTAAAGCTAATGTTTATTGACCTATATATACTAAAGCTAATGTTTATTGACCTATATATACTCAAGCTAATGTTTATTGACCTATATATACTAAAGCTAATGTTTATTGACCTATATATACCAAAGCTAATATTTATTGACCTATATATACTCAAGCTAAACTATATTAAGCTATATCAATATCAGCAAAATAAACTAAAGCCAAGGGAGATTAATCGTCTAATAGATCATACAAACAATCGTCAGCAAATCGTAGCATTTGTTGAAGTGAAAGTAGAGCGTATCTATCCACCGTTTCGTTTAATTCTGTTTCCTTCTCGTAATTTTTAACTGGTAAAACATGGCCTCTTGGTAGCCCTATTAACTGGGAAACTTTATCTACCACCTCGGCAACTTCACGAGAATAAAATAACTTAGACAAATTTTCTTTCACTTCTTGAGAAATCTCGTCAACTTTTGTTAAAATAATGACTTGAGGTATTCCTAAAATATAATAGATAAATCACAAAATAGCGACAAAACTATTTTACTATACATTTAAACCTGGAGGGGGCTGAAAAATCAATGATGGGCATAATGTATAGACAAATCAAACTATTTTACTAATGATTTCAATCTGAATGCGGATAGTACAGCATACACGCGATGGTAACTATATAACACTATATCTGCCCATGAAGTTCGTGTATTCACCAATTTAGGTTCCTTAGATTCAAAAGTTGGCCTAAATAAGATTGAAAGCACGAATTTTTCGGGATGTTGCCTGATATTTTTTCGTTCGCTGCCTGAAAAGATAATAAAAAGGAAGGCAACACCCTGACTGAAATAGAAAATAACACGAACCTACCTCTCTGATTGGCTAATTTCTGTATCATTTTAAACTGAGTTAAAATAGATTCATTCATAACGTCGACTGAAGTTCCATCAATAATAAACGCTGAACAATGTATTTTATCATTTAAACTCGGTGTTTTTATATATATAAATAAATAAGTAAATATTTAGATAACTATACAGATAGCTGAAATTGAGATCTATCAGCTGGTAAAGTAAATATTTAGATGACTATATAGACAGCTGTAATTGATCTCTATAAGCTGGTAAAGTAAATATTTAGACAACTATACAGATAGCTGAAATTGAGCTCTATCAGCTGGTAAAGTAAATATTTAGATGACTATATAGATAGCTGAACTTAAGCTCTATCAGCTGGTAAAGTAAATATTTAGATGACTATACAGATAGCCGAGATAGAGCTTTATCAGCTGGTAAAGTAAATATTTAGATGACTATATAGGTAGCTGAAATTGAGTTCTATCAGCTGGTAAAGTAAATATTTAGACAACTATACAGATAGCTGAACTTAAGCTCTATCAGCTGGTAAAGTAGATATTTAGATGACTATACAGATAGCTGAACTTAAGCTCTATCAGCTGGTAAAGTAAATATTTAGATGACTATACAGATAGCTGATATTGAGTTCTATCAGCTGGTAAAGTAAATATTAAGATGACTATACCAATAGCTGATATTGATCTCTATCAACTGGTAAAGTAAATATTTAGATGACTATACCAATAGCTGAAATTGAGCTCTATCAACTGGTAAAGTAAATATTTAGATGACTATACAGATAGCTGAAATTGAGCTCTATCAGCTGGTAAAGTAAATATTTAGATGACTATATAGGTAGCTGAAATTGAGTTCTATCAGCTGGTAAAGTAAATATTTAGATGACTATATAGGTAGCTGAAATTGAGTTCTATCAGCTGGTAAAGTAAATATTTAGATGACTATACAGATAAATAACCTACTGAATATTTATTCGGCATGTGTCCATCTAACATAGCAGTAATATCTTCAGGATCTACCCCTTGGGACTCCTCCAGACCTCGTGTATCACATAATCTTACTTTCAAATATTTCGACCCATTTCTTATTTGGTAACTTCTGAACTGTAAAAACAAAACCTTTTTATATGATGTACTTTCTTTTCCTGTCCTTCATCCTTTTCCTATTCATGATCATTATTCTATCTTGGGTCCGGTCCTTGTCCTGTCCTGTCTTGGTCCTTTTACTGGTCCTGTTCTCGTCTTGTCCTGCCCCGTCCTCTAGTAGGTCGTCTAGTCCTTGTCCTGTCCTGTTCTTGTCCGGTTCTTGGTCCTCTCCTTGGTCTGTCCTTGGTCTGTCCTTGGTCTGTCCTTGGTCGTCTGGTCATGTCTTATCGATTATTCCCATAGTATACTTCTATTATCATTCCATCTATCCAAATATCTAATTACTAACCTTGGTGGTTAAACTATGTTCAGCACTTCCGGCAGCAGCTTGACTGGTCACGTGACCTCTGAATACAGAATTGATGGTATTGAAATAACTTGATTTACCGGCGCCTACACACCCAACCATTAGAATTCTACATTGGTCAACATCGCCTCCTTGTATTGGTTTATAATCTTCTACAGTTTTCTTGATTGTGGCCTGTTAACAAAAATAGCTTGTCAGGCAAAGTAATATACACCCACTGGCAGCTTTGATTTTACATAAAAATATTTGGCAGTACAGTAACAATCACCAGTATGAAATATTCAACCTTCAGTCATACATTTCTTTTGAACTTTTTGGGTTTATGCTGAATATTAAATATTACCAAATTTTATCTAATTCCGACATAAATCATGCCTGCGTGCCTCCTAGATTTACGAGCTAAAAATTGAAATCGTTTTCAAGAACATGTACGATAACTAAATATCATTTGGATTTTCAATAGGTTTCAGCCTAGGGTGATTACGAACACTCATACCATGTTTCGTCAAAGTCTGTCAAGAATAGTGTCTTCTAGAGTGTTTACGAGAAATTGTGGACGGGTCGACGGACCGAGGGACTCAAATGGGTGACGCTAATATACGCCCCCATTGCATGTTTACGTTTTCGTGTTTACAAATCTGTCGGATAGATTTTTAAGGCTTGTGATAAAATTTGGAATCAATTCCTTTATAAATCATTATGACTTACAGTTTTTTCTTGAATTTCTTGTCGCCATGGTTCGTCTACAACATCTAATTTATCTACAATGAAAATAATCAGTGTTAGAAATGTAGCTGATTGATCCTAACCACCCAAATTATACCATGAAATTCATCATGTTTCTTTCTTAACCCGTTCATAGCTCTTACTAACCAAGTTGTTACTCACCTACTATCTGATAAACTTCGACTTCTCTGTAATTAAAATTATTATTACAATAAGTGGCTGGGGAGACATAGTCTGAATTATAAGCACCATTAGACTGAAACACTCCATTGGTTTTACTAGTAGGGTCCTTGAAGCACACGAATATTCCAAACGATGGTCCCTGCGTTGGATACTGATAGATTTGTATTTGGGAGCGTAGAGAGCTTTGAACCCACATATTAGTATATGTAGTCTTATTTGTACCATACAAGGTGAAAATAAACGCTGATGTATCTTGGACTATGGTGTTGGTGCTCTTCCAATCTATTGCGGTATATCCACCAAAAACACAACCATCAGTATTCCAACAGATTGTTACAGTAGCTCCTTTATTGTCACATTTCTTATGAAATACATCTGCTGACAGACCATCTATAGTGGCTTTATAGATTCTTTTTAGATGTTTTGTAGTGTTGATCCAGGTTCTAAGCTGGGTCTTGTCGGATTCCGTGAGTGTCGCCATTTCCCTACATGAAAAATAAATCCATAAATGTGGGAAAAGAGGAGGTACGGTGTCCAGTGTGTTGTAGGGTTCGGGATTATCGATACAGTAGAAAATAGAAGAATCGAATCGTGTCCGCACCGTGTCCAGACCCGAACCTCCGTGTGTTCACTTCTTCTATTTTCGTTTGTATCAATTATTCCGCACCGTACATCGTCTGATTGCAGCTTTCGTACCACATCGTATACCGTACTTCGTCTTATCACAGCTTTCACGTTTTAAGACATACAGTGGTCTATTTTCGTGCATATAAGGATTCAACATCGAATTTCGTCAAAGTTAAAAAAACGGAATTTTTTTTGTTAATATGTCTTAGATGTTTCCTCAGATATTCTACAAAATAATTAAAATTGGTTTGTTACGATTTTCTTTATGAATCCTTCACTTTGACCCATATTTCATGAGCAACCAACTCGACAACGGCGGCAAAATGCGTCACCTATTTTCGTGTACAATGCTTGATCTATAAATAAGTCGAGAAAACCCCGTTGTACGGAGCCCCTAAGGCGCAATTGTAAACATATTTATTTATTATGTCGTTTAAACGAATTAATTATTTCGATTAAACGAATTAATTATTTCGTTTAAACGAATTAATTATTTCGTTAAAACGAAATGTTATTTCGTTTAGACGAAATAAATTATTATTTCGTTAAAACGAAATAATCATTTCATTTAAACGAAATAATTAATTCGTTTAAACGAAATAATTATTTCGTTTTAACGAAATACACTATGTTTATTTCGTTTAAACGAATAACTTTTTTCGTCTATTTCGTTTAAACGAAATAATTAACCCATCTTTTTATTTCGTTTAAACGATTAATTAATTAATAAATAAATGATGTTATTTCGTTTAAACGAAATAATTATTTCGTTTAAACGAAATAATAAATAAATATGTTTACAATTGCGCCTTAGGGGCTCCGTACTACCGTTGTATTTATACCCAGTGGTATAATTAACTTCTCTTAGTTTTTATCTTTAATATCAATTCATTATAACTAGTGACAATTCCTTCAAAAAACCACGATTTAGAAAAATATAGTAACTGACAAAATAAGATACACGTAGCGTGATTTATTGCTAAAAGTCACTGAAACAACATAAGAATATGGCCGACATTGTTTTTGATAGAATTTTTCTGCTGACACGGAATCCGCTAGTTGATCACGTGACTTCATTCGTTGGACTACATTCTAGCAGACGACACTTGGAATTGCGATTACAGCTGGGGATTATAAGGAAATTCGGCCGATAACAAAATGTTGACGTTTGGTAATAAGTGAAATCCGCCATTTTGTATTTGTCAAAGTGTATGTTAATACATTTTACCTTGCTTGAAGCCTATTTGTATGTAATTTCTTCACAGATTTTATATAACGACTAGTGTTATAGGAGTTTACAATTCAAATATAAGCCGCAGTTATCAAATGTAACATACAGTTTACCAGTAGGCCTACATTATATATAAATACAGTTTTAAATATGACTGTAAAGTGTCTGGACGTCGGACTAAGTCTATACAATATTTTCATTCTCAACTGTATCGTATGATCCCGTATCGTACACCGGACACCGTATACAGATAACATGCCTTGTTTTTGTACTAAAGGAAACGCAGCTTAATCTCAACGTGAACACAACTCTTTCAGTGGAGCAATAAGGTAGGAATAGACTACGTGAGATAACAGGTGCGGTGTACGATGAGGGGAAATAGAAATAGTTTGAGAAAATTGAAAAACTCACGTGTAATAAATGTGCTTTCTTTAAAATATTTCGAAATATGAAACTTGCTTTATAGTCTATATTATATATCTAATATTATATAGTCAATCCTACTGCCGAGAAAATTGTTATTTTTCTAGGAAATTAGGGCTGGTTATTTATAGGCCCAAATATTGTAGTTTTACTTTCGATATCGACGGGCGCTGACTAAACATCTAAATAAACACAATAAGATAAAATGGAAAGTGATAAAGTGTCGGAATTGTATTGATTGCGAAGGCTTAGTGCTCGTTCACACTACAAGCAGAGCAGGGCGGTGCAGAGACGAGCAGAGAAGGGCGACCTGAAATCAATCATTCACTATGGAGGATTTCGTGTAGTGCGTTCCCAATGCTTGACAGTCATGCTAAATGAACGGTGGACAACCGCGAGCATTTACAAGGCGTGTCGGTCGGCGCTCAAATGCAAAGAGGTCAGATAGCAAGGAGACCTTTGAACAGTCTGATAAAAAATAGACCAAACTTTCGATTCGTCTTTTATCAGCTTTTATTCTTAATATACCCACTTCAGTTGGGGTCTAAAACCGGCCTCTTGAACATTCATCCAATCAAATTCCTACAAATCTCAAAGCTGTTATTTTGTGACGCGAACAAAAGATGTATTACAAGAAGATTAATTTAGTTTATCAAGTGAATGCACCTTTTGTTCTTGTCACAAAATTAGATTAGACTGGAACTTGAGTAAATATACTTATCAACACTTTTGATTGGTCAAGAATATACATTTGACCAATAGGATTCTTAGGAACAAATATTTGCGTAAAATTTATTCTTTATTATTGTATACAATGTTTTTATTTACAATTATTCAATGGTACATTATGAAAAGGATTGGAGAACGGACTTCGCCAATATGACCCTGTGACCCAACTCGATTAGTGGGGACCCGTGGACTTAGATTGGTTGGGGCCGCTACCCCCGAAATATTTTTTATTGCCTTATTCTCTCCTGCATTCTGAGATCCCTCTGTCAGTCAGTTTAATGCCTGTTAAAATTATTTCTTGGAGTGGACCCTCCCTGAAGGGCGGGACCCCGTGGACTTGATTCAACCAGTCTGATATTTGAGCCAATGATAATCACCATTCTCTTGCGTGGTTCTAGAGGGGTAACCATTTCAACTTTTTAGTCAAAATGACGAATGGCAGTGGTGCAGGAGGCGTGTTCAACTGACTCAAGCACCGCTATAAATCTTAAAGGTCGAACTTTCAATCGCTTATAAGACTTAGGCGTACCTTAGTTTATATTCATACGAAATCGCTTTACAATCCTCTACATCAATTAGTAAAAACAATTTCCCTCAAAACACAAATAATTTAAGCTTCACAGTTTTTGTCCTGGTGTAGGTAAACAGTCCGAAGAAATGATTTATCTTTTACGTCTTTGATTTTCCTTCGCTTCCTGATAATTAGGAACAATTCTAAATCTCGATCTGTCTGAAAACACAGTATGTTCACGTGTTAAAGTTCTCGCTGTTGTCCTGTCTACTTCAGACGAAATAAGTCGAACGTCTGGAATTTTTCGCTGAGTGTTAATCGTTCCAACGACACGTTTTCCACGCCATGGGGCAAATGGCATATCGACGAATTTAGATATTTTTGAATTGGCCGCGATCTCTTCAGTTATAACGGTATTTGGAATAGTTTTAATGATCGGTTCTCGAGATATTTGCTTCATTTTAAACTTTCTTGACGAAATATCAAATAAATAGTCGGGAACGAGAAAAAAGGAATTGACACACAGAACAGATGTTAATATCACAGTTATTATAGGTAAGGTCCAACTCGCCATTTTAAATTAAAATCTCCAAACTTTCAATCCTTAATCTGAAATATATAAAATATCAGTATATAGTGACTTCCTTAGTAACTGGGGTATGAATAACTGGACACAATTTTATGGATAACAATTACTTTAATAAATAACTTGCGACGTTTCGACGACGATGTTTCCGTCTGTATCAAGCAATAATGATAAAGACGGGAGCATCATCGTCGAAGAAACGTCTTCGCAAGTTATTTATTAAAGTAATTGTTATCTATATAATTGTTTCCAGTTATACAGTATATAGTGATAAATAAAGTCGCTCAGTGACATTTTGTTATATTTAGCTGAGATTTTACTCAAATTTGAAACAGCTATTACATATGAATAACTAATTGTATCAATAAAGAATATATATCAAACCAATCATTAGGGCATAATCTTTCTGACATAATCACATTAATCTTCAAAATTTACCTTTTCTTGACGCGAGAGGTATTATAGATTTGACTGACCCTGGGGCTGGTCTCCCCATCAAGTGGCATACCAACAGTTCAGTTAGAGAGCGCGATTAAACAAATTTTCGCAGAACAATTGCCCAGATAAGTGGGCGCACACGCAAGTAACAAGAACGGGTGCTTGGCTAATGTCGCTGTCTTGGCAAAATTTCCGTCATTGGAAACTGCATAGCGTTGCCCGTCTTCATTGGCCCAATGGGTGCAGACAAATAAGACGCAAAACTCGATGCATTTCATTTATGGGTGGCATTAGTGCGCAAATATCAAATCTAGAAAACAATTTTAATAGATTCCAGAGAAAAATAAACAGAGCGTGAAATTATACATACTTTACAAATGTAAGGCTTGTGTCACAGCAAAAAGTTTGTGAAAAAGTCAAAAATGCCAACAGTCGAAAGTGTCTAAGAAAAAATAAAAATGATTATGTAAATTTTGGAAACGTTGTTCCCCTCCTCTAATACACCAGACATATCGTGAAATCCTTTTCAAGCTTCTGAACAAATGCTTATGAACGAAATTTTATAATAAAAAAACTCCTACCTCTCAAGCCATTGAGCTAAAGTTCCTGGAAGTTACAGACACGTCACTGGAAAGTTGATCGAAGTCGTTGCCGAAGTCGCAAAAAACTTACTCCGACGGGAAGAAAATCCACGTTTCTTTATAGGAGTGAAGACAATACGGTATATTGATCCGATAGAAAACTAATAAGAAACACCAGCCAATGACTACCTAGCCTACTGTCAGTACATCCTACACATTTTATACCATCGTTTTCTTTTTATAATACACACAAATATTCAAAAAAACGTCAAGTTATACACCTAACGATCGGTTACGTTTTTAGGAAACATTAGATGAGGGGCCACACCAATTTCCGAAGCCCTTTTTTCACTATATAAAATGGTAACAAAAAATTGAAATCTGGGCTAGCATCTTTTCCGTACCGGACACCGTACCTCGTCTATTCCCGGATTTATTCCCCACTGTGCACCGTACCGGACACCGTACCTCGTCTATTCCCGGCTGTATTCCCCACTGTGCACCGTACATGGACATTTATGATTGGTTAAAAAATTATATGCAATAAGAACATAATGATATGATTAAGAATACAAGCTAATTCATTAGAAACACCAATTAATCCAATAGTTTGCTTAATTTGACACTAATTAATAAGGAAACCCATCTTTAATCTACAATAATAAATGTTTTTGTCTGTTTTCTGGAACTAGTTGAACTTATAGAGACGAGCGGCCGGTGTCAAACACATCGGCAGCATTTTCCGTGGTAGCAATATACATGTACAGGCCTTCTGGGCCTCATCAGTGCAGTGTTGATACTGGAGTTGAGGTTTGGCTATATAGCCGGCTCAGATGATCCAATAATATGTGGTATCATCGTACCATACCAGAGCGCCCAAACTAGCAAGCTAGTACACACTAACGACAATGGTACACAGACAAGAGTGCTCAACATGGTATGAACCAAGGAGCATATCTAACTGCAAACAGAACCGTTTCGGTACATATACATGTAAATATATTGACCAAAACAGCGGCGTTTCTATGGAGAGGCTGGCGCTTCTTTCATCCCCCCCCCCCTTCCCCCAATCCCCCCCCCCCCCTTTCTTCATTTTTACGATGATTACTAAGTTAAGTGTTTCTGTTGATGAGAAAGTCCTACATGGAGGATATGACATATTCGTTCATAGATCGACAGATAGCCACTTAGAAACTAATTTCCTTTACTTCGAGACATGACAATAACGGTCAGAGCCTTTCAGGGGCTTCACTTCAGATAATAGGACACACGCACGCAGGCACTTACAGTCAGGGCCGTAATTAGACCGAAACACTTACCTTTATTACTCTAGCACTCCAGCTAACAACTGTCAAAATATGCTTCAGAGACTGGAATAGAGGCAGGTGTTTCGGACTAGGTCATGATAAGAAAATGCCTGATAAGGGTTGGGGGAGAGGGGTGGGTGCGTATTTCAGAGTGCCTGTGATGAATTACTACGATTCAGATGGCTAAATTGTCATGAATAGCGTCATTAGAACAGGACTATGGTAGAAAACTTGTAAGATCAAATAGAGACGAATAATACCAGAGTGAAAAAGAAAATTGTTATCTTAATTAGGATGCGTTTTTGTAGAAACCACAGAGATTGATAAGAGATTGAAACAACAGGGCGAAACTACTACATGTCATTGAAAGGGACAGATTCGCCATCCGTTTGACCAATCGTACTTTATTCTCAGAAACGATAATTTTTTTAGTTAAGTGGTCTGTAATTTTATTCACAGCTCACTGGCGAAATTTTAATCTTCAAATCCGCGTGTGTCCAGAATTATCCGCGCTTGAAAGTTAAAAATACGACTGTCTTTTCTTGAGACTCATGCCGTATATAGAGAAGACGTTATATAATATAGAAATAGGAAAATTCCTAGTTTGCCATATTTAAAGGGATTGTAGTACAGTTCAGTTCAAGTACTTCTCAAAACGGCGAGTCGTGGCCATTAAGCTACTTGTATAACGTCAGTGACGGCGTTCCATACAATACCATTACCTCGTGTAAACATTATATAGTGTTACTCACAAACACAATACAATATTATAGAATAAACACACTTCTTTGATAAAAAAAAAAATAACAATTCAACACGTGTCCATAATAATAATATTGTTTTGTGTTTGTGATATATATTCCTCACTTCTAAATGTCGTTCAAGTCTTGTTATGTAGTATTATTGTGATGGTCGATTAATAAATAACATGTTGGAGGCTGAATTCAATTATTAACCAGTACAGTTGGCTACTAGCTACACCATCTTGGATTCTAACAACAGTTTCTGGCAGTCTGGCCATCACCTTGACGTAGATAAACATTGCTTCAAGATAAAAATATTTATAAACGGAAAAACGACATTTTATTGGCGACCACAATAGCTCTGGGCAGATCTGTATCTGTTCGATATATTATAGAGTTCTATACTTTCTTCTCAACTCCAATTCTAAGATAATCAAAGTTATATCGTGAGGTTCTGTAGCACAGTCGGTTAGAGCGTTGATACTAAACATGACGTCATTTGCAAATGGTGGCTGTGGGTTCTAATCTTGGTTAACGTGTAATAAGTTATCTTCATTCATTATTCCAGTCGACCCAGTTGTAAATGGGTACAGTTAATCTGGGAAAGATCAATGCCAAGAGGTTTGGCCAAGGACCAGCTAGTAGAAAGGATCCTTAGTTATGAACTTATTATCCTTATAAAATAATCATAGTAATTGTTTCCTACTTTCTATAAAGCCTTATTTTACGTCCTTTCAAAATGAGTCCCCCGGGGGGTAATTATCCCCGGCTGAAAACTCCTACTCTAAAGACGTGTTTCTTACTGCCTCTCTGATGGCTCACTGAAGGGTTTGTATAAAATTCCAAACGACCAACCGCAACTATGGGTCAAGCGGAAATAAATGTGGCAGGAAATTTGACATATCTAATAGTATGGATTTCGGAAGGGCTCACAAAAGATGCTTCGTTATATCGAATACATCGAAACCTCGAGATCAAGTGATAGCCTACAAACGAGGCGTAATTAGGGGTCGAGCCGTTTGGCCAACCTCAGCCCCCCTCCCCTCATATATGGGCACTTCGTGGAATTTTCTGCCTCGAAGAGAAACATTCCATTTTTGACTTGGACAGTTCGGCAGTTGGAAATTGAAAAAACAGTGAGCAAATGTTGCTGAAAAAATGTTACCGTGATAACTCTGTTTCATTTCTTTAGGCTGTGGGGACATATAAAACCCCAGGCAGCTCAAAATGTTACATGCTTCTGTAACCCAGGCTTAATTGCACTATTTAGCTATTATTTATCATTTTAAAAAATGCACCAAGCAACTATTTATATGGGAGAGGTCGACACGACGACATTTGTTTTTATAGAAAAGGACAGTGGCGATATTCCATTTTGTTTAACAAAAAGAGTTACTACAAACATCACCATAATAAATGATAAAAAAAAATATTTTCTTCATTGGTTTCCATACTTTTTATGAACCAATGAAATGGTCGAATTTTATACAAACCGAGACTCATTGTAAACTTCCGGTTTGACTAGAAATATGTAAACAAAACTTCTCTGAACTGAAATTATTGAGAAATTTGTTAGTCTTAATATTTTTTTTGATTGAATTATGGCGGTAGTTGAAAAAGACCCGGGTGTGTTGACAGAGAAGCTTGTGTTGACCAGAACAAGAGCTCAGGATCTTGACAGTGTTAAAAAACTAAACTGTTGGTAAGAAAGAAAACAAAATGTATTTTTATTGCTTTCGTAATCAATAAATGGCCGAGGATATTTGCCACCCGGGTGGCATACAATTATTCGCCACCCTTATTTATTACTTGCCACCCGTTTTCAAAACTCTTATTACTCTGGAGACTGGCATTACAATAAATAGCTGAAGTCAAATTCCATCAGCTCTCTATCTCCGAGGAATGTTCCTTTGTTGGATTGTTTAAGGAGGGGGAGGGGGTGTTTCCAGAATTAATAACATAGGGCCCTTCTTGTATCTCTATGGAAACTCGTCTGGTGGGAGAAAGGGCCATTGAAGACTGCGGCCTAAAATTAACACTGTTACACTGGTTCAAGCTTCTGTCATATTTCAGCTGTGCTGGGAGGAAGAATTTTAAAGAAAGAAAGAAGGGGATGGAATGAAGGATTGTTTTTGAGATTTGTTTGTTCAAAAATGTCTACCCTGGCTTCTCACAATTTCATTGGATTGGCCAATGTGAATTCTCATAGATACAATATGGAACTGGTCACCCCAGTAAACTTATATGTTATCATAAGGCTTACTATTCCTTGGTTTACTGGTTTTAAACTAAATGTATATGATATATGATTGGTTATAATCCAAATGTATGGTATACAATTTAACTGTTGTCTTGTTTTCAGGGGGTCTGGAATAACAGATGTCAGTGTTATTAGAAAAATGATCAATTTAGAAGTTTGCAGTTTAAGGTAACTAAGTTATATACCGGTACTTTAAAAGGAAGTCAGTGATATGAACTGGTGACCTTCAATAATTCATCTTTCCTCATTATTCCAGTCGACCCAGCTGTAAATGGGTATGGATCCTTAAAAGATCAATGCTAAGAGGTTTGGCGAAGGAAGAGCTGGTAGAAAGGATTCTTGATTGTGGACATAGGTTGTTATCCTTGTAAAAAATATTGAAAACTTTCCTTTCAGAGAGCAAATTTCTGTAAGTTTGCTTATGAAGCACATATTTGAGAGGAAAAATCATTTCACTGACATCAACGCCAGTTAGTTAGGACATAGCCCGTTCCACATTGATCAACAACAACTCAGGGTTAATAGTAAGACTTTATGTAGAAAACCATGACCAGACTTCAAGGTGTTAACAGGACGGTAGTCGGAAGACAGAATGGCTAGGTTTACTTGCTTTGTGCTACATTGCATGTGATTTAAAGAAGGCGAACTTGATTAGTGAAATACATCTTATGGCGCAACTTACTTAAGCTATGCTACGTTACATGGTACACATCGAGTATCTATCTGTATGACATCATGGCTATACCTCTATCCATATTCCATTATCAAATCATTATAACTGGATATTATTACTAAAACTACTATTTCTCTTGTTTTTATAGTGGAAATAAAATCAGCTCTCTGGAAGATTTTTCTCACTGTCCCAATCTACAGGAGCTGTATATTCGTAAGAATAAGATTAGCGATTTAAGACATGTTCATTGGTTAAAGAAGTTAAATCGTTTACGTGTTTTATGGTTGGCAGATAACTCCTGTTCTACTGGTGACAATTACAGAATGACGGTCCTCAAAACTTTACCAAATTTACAAAAACTTGACAATGTGGGTAAGTAGAATTTGGTTACGTGGCCTTTGATTAGTTGTTTTTATTATCAAATACTTCCTCATTTATGATTGATACAATTCCTTATTTATAATTGATATACTTTTTTATTTTATCGATATAGTTCCTCGTATGAAAAGTTCATTAGCTGCTACTAATGTATTGCCAAAATTATGTCTTCACAGTTGGAAATTGAAAAAAATTGTGGCTGCCATGAATAAATTCCCCTCATCGCACACTACATGGCATTGCCCATCTCTAACAACTGAAACATTTTTATGCCTACAAACATGCCTGTGCCTATGTTTTCATAAAAATTACTTGACATCAATTTTACACCCTATAATTTCTAACCTGAGCAGAAAAGAAGAATGCAAAATACTGGATTGTTTCGTTCTATTTTTTCAGTTGTTACAGAAGAAGAAATTAATCTTGCCTTAGAGGAAGGGGAGGAGTTACCTTTTCCTGAAAATTTCCTCACAAATGATTGTGTGTCTGGACAATGTTTATTAGAACAGGTAGAAATGTGCGATGAACTTGAACTTACACAAGATCCAGGTGTGGAATCAGAACCGAAAATACTTATTACAGACGTCACAGAAACAGTAAATAACAACTTTGAACAACGATTTAGAAAAATTGAGGAATGTCTTTCAAAAGAGAGTGAAATCGATAGTGAAATGGAAAATTCGGGCAACAACGAAGAATTGAACTTGCAACCGATACCCAATAAATCAAATGAGATACTTGAAACATCGAATGAAACACCAGAATCAAATCATCAAAACTGTCCGTCCCCAGAAAGGCAACAACCTCCATCAACCTGGCAATCTTCAGAAGAAACAGGAAATCCTGAAGTTATTGAATTATCCATAAATCCTTTTATCAAGCCTGAAATTAATGAATCCACCTCTTCAGAAAAACAGATTATCCAGCCTCAAGATAAAGAGTCTACCTCTTCAGAAAGACAGATTATCCAGCCTCAAGATATGGAGTCGTCCAGTAATTCTGTTATCCCGTCTGAAATGAAGGAGTCATTGCAAGATCCTGTTATCCAGCCTGAAATGAAGGAGTCACAAAAAAATCCTGTTATCCAGTCTCAAGTTTTGGAGTCATCCAAAAACCCTGTTATCCAGCCTCAAGTTAAAGAGTCTACCTCTTCAGAAAGGCAGGTTATCCAGACGGACAGGCCCAGTGCACCGATATTGATCTTTGAAAAAGGTCATAAAATAGAATCCAGTAAAGAATCAATGGGAATGAATCCTGACAGACCGAGAGAGCCGCCAAATGACCCTATACACTCTGAAAACATTTCAACAATAATCAAAACACAAACCGAAGAAAACATTCAGAATCAAAATCATTGTAAAACGCCTCCAGTAGCTTTGTCATTCGAACAATCTAAGTAAGTTTTGATTATACAGTAATTATTGTCAGGAAAGGACAGGAAAATAAATTTACTTTTTCAGTTATTATGTTAGCTATTGAAAAAACACATCTGAGAGGTGGGGTGACTCACCAAGTTACATACATCAAAACTGAAAACTGATTGAGAAATTCATTGGCATCATCTTATATTAGTTAAACTTTTATTTACAGTAGCACGATCTGTTAGATCTTTGACTTTACATGAGATAATTTGTTTGGTTACATCTTTGTTCTAATCTTTGTTGGTGTGTAAAAATCTAGTGACCTTGAATAAGTCATATTTCCTCATTATTTTAGTAGGCCCAGCTGTAACTGGGTACAGAATAAGTCATTTTTCCTCATTATTCCAGTCAACCCAGCTGTAAATGTGTACTGAATAAGTCATCTTACCTCATTGTTCCAGTCAACCCTGCTGTAAATGTGTACTGAATAAGTCATTTTTCCTCATTATTCCAGTCAACCCAGCTGCAAATGGGTACTGAATAAGTCATCTTTTCTCATTATTCCAGTCAACCCAGCTGTAAATGGGTATTGAATAAGTCATCTTACCTCATTGTTCCAGTCAACCCTGCTGTAAATGGGTACTGAATAAGTCATCTTTCCTCATTATTCCAGTCAACCCAACTTTGAATGGGTACAGATAATCTAGGAAAGATTAATGGTCGGACAAGGACCAGCTGGAACAAAGGATCCTTGTGAAGCCAGGTTGTTATTGTAGTAAAAGTATATTTTTATAAGCTATAAAACTTGTTGATTGATTGACATTTCAGTAAATTACGTGAAGAACTGGGTTTAAAACCACTTCCTATAGACAACAACATATCAACATTAAAATCTCTCACAAAAGCAAAGGTTGGTATTTATAATCAAGTTAAATTCAAACTTAGACACTAAGTTTAACTCTATGATCATAAATTTAATTTATCTGGTACACTGGTAGCATCTATTCTACCATAACAAGTTCTAGTTAAACGTCTGTGGCTCTTGTAATACCATTAAACCACTTTAGTTAATCTTAAATATTGTTGATAGAAGCTAGAAGCATCAAAAACTCTTAGTTTACGAGAAATCGCAAGAGCAGCAAATGTATGAATGAAAATTGGAAAGGTGCAAATTGATACTATCAAAAAATAAAACTCCATTCATTTCATTTACAATCTCTTTAAGTGATACACAATAAAGAAAATCAAAATACTGAACCTGAATTTAAATCAGATTAAATTAGAATTTCATGATACAGACAAATTGAGCCACAATTAAAACTTATTAATGAACTGTAATTTTGTTAAAATCTAAAGCTTAACATGATTTTAGTTTCGTTTTGGAATTGAAATTTTCTGGTTTTCGTCTGCACGATTTTTTTGCTTAATGAACATCATTTGAATATTATAATCTATGGATGCATTTGACTTAAAGGGATAGCTGCCCCATTTTGTTGATTTTAGTTTTGGTTATGTGTAAATAGTCTTCAGAAATACTAGAAATGTAAACAAATCACATAATTCCTTTAAAAATACTTCAAACTAGGAATTTTACTCACTATTTCTATAGATGTCGTTTCTATATATGGCAGTGTCAAACTTTCAAATTCTGGACACACATGGATTTGAAGGCTCAAATTTCGACGAGCTGTGAATACTATTACTGATTAGCTTAGCTAAATAAATTCCCATTTCTGAGACTAAGGTACGATAGTTGAATAAATGGTGCATCTGTCCCTTTAAGATTAAAAAAAGTAGTAAATAAAACGTTGCTGAAATCAAATGATGTGTTTTGGATTAAGTTCTCAGACAAATTTATTTTGAGAAATTAAACGTGCAGATTTCTAATCATGATTTTGTATCTTTACCACACAATGCTGATTCAACGCGGTTTTTTATTAACAAGTCTCCAGATTGTCTCAGGATTTATTTATGTTTGTGTTTTTAAATACTTTTTAAAACTCTTATTTAAATATTTCTATTGCTTATTAATTTGTTAAAATATATAACATGAACAAGGCTGAAATTGTTTCCATTAAGTTGTCTGTCTTTTTGTTATGATTTTCAACAAATCATGTCTCAGAGTTGTGAGGGATTATGTCGTCTTTTGAAGGATTATCAGGAACATGTGCGAAGCTGAAAGTTGTTTATTAAGATTCTTAGAGTACTGTATTCCTTTGAAAAACGCTCAATTTTACATCAATTTCTTCCATTTTTTATGAAAAACTAAAAGTTACATTTAAAATGTAAACATCTGTGAGACTAAACATCTGTTTAAATTCTTAAAATTTTTATTGCTTCTTTTGTTTGCACTGAAAATTGATGATGCTGTTTCCATTCAAACTCACCTGCTAGACATATGTCTTTAAGTTTCTTTTGTTATCTCCAAGATTAGCAGTGCCATTTTGTCCCAACTGGTTAGATGTTATTGTCCCAGGTGTCTTAGCCGCGAGGATTACAGATCTGAAACTCTATAAGTCTTCAACACTCATAACTCTTGATAAAATATCTGTCGTAGGACAAAGAAATATCAGTGGATATGAATGAATAAATACAACTGGTCTTGGGCTGCGGTAGAATAAAAATTGAAAAAATTCTTCAACACTTATATCTCTTGTTACAACATCTATAGATTACAGATCTGAAACTCTATAAGTCTTCAACACTCATAACTCTTCATAAAATATCTGTGGCTCATTGATTTTGTAAATGTCTCATACTCTTAGACCCCCACTCCCCTCTCGTGACAATTCTGTGCCCCTTATCAGCCCCTACTTTATGATTTATAGAATAATTAACGTATATTTTTTTTTAATTTTCAGAATGCCAATATTTTACAGGCTACGTTACTATTGGTGAAAGATTTAGATAAAGATAGTTTGGAAATAGTTCAAGATGTCATACAGACTCGTCTGGATTCATTGTAAGCAGCAGATTTGTCTCCGTCTGGGTTTCATTCATCTTATTGATCAATTTTTGTTTTAAAGGGATTGCAAAGGGGTTTTCTAAAAAATTGTCAGGCAGTGGAATTACAAGAGCCACAGATGTCTGACTGAAAATTGGAATGGTGCATGAAGAGTGTAAAAAACCTCTTTACGTTTTAAGTTTGGTATTTCTCTGTCATAAATGCCAACAACATATTCTTGTTATTTTTTGGAGGAATGTGGCTCTAGGGCTGAAGCTGAAAAGTTTATAAGAAGGAGGCTATTTGATTGGTTTGGTCTTATTTGAAATTGAACTCAATTAAAGGCATACTACCTTTTATGATGACCAAAATATTACAATTTCATAACTTGGTTAAAATAAGTCTTTGTTCATGAGTGGACTATACCTGGTGTCAAAACTCTACAACAGAATCTCTCTATAATCTAATAAATTCATAAAACTAAGTAATAATTCATTAAACTAAGTCATTTTGAAATATGCTTAGAAGCGTGTGTTCAATAATTATTTAGTTTAATGAATATTTGGTCTTTTGTGGACATGTCATTCTTTAGTACCACCAGGCATGTCCAACTGATGAATATATACACTTGTTTGAGACTTTATATTTGATGTCTATTATAAGAGGTAGTGTTCCTTTAAGGAATGTTATAAGATTTAGATGTATATAGTAGTTGTAAATAACATGAATGATATTTGTATTTTGTATTTTAATCAGATTTGATTTATTTTAAAACTGTGATATTTTTGTGATTTTTTAACATTAAGAATTCTGACCTCATGTTGATATTCTTCCTAATTACTGAAAGGCAAAAGAAACTTCATGTGGATGTATCTTCTATTCATATATATTAATATAAGTAGAGATAAGGCAGCAAAAAGTAACAGTAGAATATTAAATAAGTTTATTAACAACAGAACAAGTAACTATCAGTGTCTGTTAAGTTTTAAGATATTCTACAAGTTACTATCCTTTCACTATAGTTTATTTCTCTGTTAAAATAGAAGTAGAATATTAAATAAGTTTATTAACAACAGAACAAGTAACTATCAGTGTCTGTTAAGTTTTATCAATATTTTCACAAGTGACATTTCTTTTACCTTCTAGTAGATCTGAAAAGGAATCATTCAATGGTGCGTTGAAAAACTCAGTTGGTTGGATATTTTTTGATTGTTTTGTCATATATTTATATAAATTGTAGATCAGAATCAATTGTGTTGTTATTTTCAATGCAATGGGTGCAATTTCTGTTTTCAATCTAGATAAACCAATATTTCATCCTTTCAATTCTAGAATTTGACCAAAGTCAAAGAAAATGTTAGTTCTCAAAAAGAGGTTTTAATAAATCTAGATTTTGACAGTACATCACATGAAGGTCTCTATTAGTCTTATTAGCTGGTAAAGGCAATATTCTTATGTCCCTTTAAAACATCAAAAAAGATAAAAAAAAAAAAAATTTGTTTTAATCAACACAAAATATCACATATGGATTATTTTCTTCTGATACACAGCTCGGCAAACTGGACAATTATTCCTCAGATCTCCTTCAGTCAATTTCTCTAACGTACACAAACACATGTCATGAAACACATGGGAACATGATAGTAATACTGTTGGTCTTCGCTTCATTGATATCACATTCACTTTCATATCATTTCCTGTTGTTGTTTTCGTAATGTTCAAGTCACTATTTTGACACTCATTGAAACCAGAGTGATCTTCGTGTCTGGTTTGTTCAGTTTCCGTCGTGTTGTCTGAAGGTAACGCTAAATCTTGTAAACATATCGGACAATCAGTGTCAGCCCGTAAAACTGCCTGAAAAATTGAAGACATGAAAAAACGATGCGATAATCTCGAGTCATTTCTGAACTACATTTGCCAGATTTTCTCAAAAATATGTCTGCTTCCACATCAGGTATAAAAATTCTCACGAGTATCCAAAATCCACTTGTGCAAAGACTCTAATAAGACAACCACCAAAGTCTTGTTGGATTTGCACAAAATATTTCACAAATGCAAACTTGTTGCTTTTGCTATTTTTGCAAATGTTGTTTTGATATCTGTACAAGTTTCACAAGTTTTGTTGAGTTTGCACAATAGTTCTGAGACTGAAACATCAGAAAAAGAAAAGTTTGTGAGACTCTGAGACTGAAACATCAGAAAAAGAAAAGTTTGTGAGACTCTGAGACTGAAACATCAGAAAAAGAAAAGTTTGTGAGACTCTGAGACTGAAACATCAGAAAAAGAAAGGTTTGTGAGACTCTGAGACTGAAACATCAGAAAAAGAAAGGTTTGTGAGACTCTGAGACTGAAACAACAGAGAAATAAAAGTTTGTGAGACTCTGAGACTGAAACAACAGAGAAATAAAAGTTTGTGAGACTCTGAGACTGAAACATCAGAAAAAGAAAAGTTTGTGAGACTCTGAGACTGAAACATCAGAAAAAGAAAAGTTTGTGAGACTCTGAGACTGAAACATCAGAAAAAGAAAGGTTTGTGAGACTCTGAGACTGAAACATCAGAAAAAGAAAGGTTTGTGAGACTCTGAGACTGAAACATCAGAAAAAGAAAAGTTGTGAGACTGAGACTGAAACATCAGAAAAAGAAAGGTTTGTGAGACTCTGAGACTGAAACATCAGAAAAAGAAAAGTTGTGAGACTCTGAGACTGAAACATCAGAAAAAGAAAAGTTTGTGAGACTCTGAGACTGAAACAACAGAGAAATAAAAGTTTGTGAGACTCTGAGACTGAAACATCAGAAAAAGAAAAGTTTGTGAGACTCTGAGACTGAAACAACAGAAAAAGAAAAGTTGTGAGACTCTGAGACTGAAACATCAGAAAAAGAAAAGTTTGTGAGACTTGCTTGACAACTATTTGGCTCCTATTCCCATTTATTCTATTATTTAACAAAATGTTTTGATATCCTCCAACCTACCTTTAATTGAACTTCCTCCCAATCCTGTTCAGATAAAATGTTGAACATCGCGTCAAAATTCTTAAAGACATTTCGACTGGCCTCCAGTGATTGGTCCATTTCTTGTAGGAAACCATGGAGACTAAAGTCACAAGATTTCACCATTCGATCTGTGATATCTTGAAGCTAAAATAACAAATATAAATTAAAGATTTTTTTGATAAATTATTGTAAGAGAACTTGAAAATTTAATTGAAAGTTTTGTCGATGTGTACCGGTAGGTCCGAGCAATATTGGATATTGGTGATAGTTAAGATTTATAAAATAAGCTATATGGTTAACTATATAAACTTCTCTACTGCTACTTATTGTGATACCAAAATATCGCCAATCCCGAACTTGTAAGGGCTCGACAATTTTCTTCGGTAGTAGGGAACACAACTGATACAACCAATACTCTCATGAAACCTCATGGATATGATGTCACGAGCATATCAGCGTTCTAACCAATCAAGCTACCACCCTCACCCAAGAATTATACTCTATTCTTTACCTTTTCCTCGAAGAATTTCCTGCGTAATTTAGGATCTGTTGGTGGGACTGACAAACGGAAGTTTTTATACCAACACCGTACAACGTAACCTCTCCAGACTGCCTGAATTCTATAGAATACAAAAACAATCAAAAAACTTATGAATCTAATTTGTGTAATGAGCATTTACTCTTGTCAAAAATTGAAATGAAAGAAGTTTTATGTAGATTACACAAATAAGATGGGACAGAAAGTTAATTCCCAAAAGCCATCTTTACTGAGCCTGATTGGGCTAATGAAGACAGGCAATGCCATGTGAGGGAAATTTTGCCAGGATAGTGGCCTTCTATTTGTTTTCGAACCGTCCAGAGATATTAAACGTGCACAGGATGTATAACATAGGGCATCAGTTTATCTAGACAACTAGAAGATTTTTTCATGTCTGATATATTATCAACAGCATTTGGGAAAGTGAATAAAACCCATAAACCTCTTACCAATCAATTTAACAACCCATCAGATATTCTTGAAGAGCGAGCATGACCTGCCTCATTAATAATTGAATTATTGTAGTTGGAGGTGAAATTAAATTAACTTACTTCGTGGCACAAGTTAGTCGATATTGTTTCGATCCTTCATGTATAACTCGAGACTGATATTGTTTGTGTCGACACATGGGGCACGTCTTTTTACCAGTATACTTTTCAAAAGCTTGGAGACAGGCCTGTTGATAAATAAATAAAACAAACGGAACCTTATTCAGATATAACAGGCATATTTTAACTCTTCAATGAAATGTCTTACCTGCATCACTGACAAGTGGAAACTGGGTTGAAAAATGAAACGACAGACAGTCTGGAAACCAACCAAGACATAGAGAAATTATTAGCAGAAAGAAATATTGATGTCATTATGATTAAGCATTTCTATGATTACCGGACTCACAGACATCTGACAGAAAATTAGAATGATGAAAATAAAATTGCTTAGAAAAAAAAAAAATACTTACCCTGTGAAAGACATGGCTACACGACAATAGTACCTGAAAACAATAATAACAATTTCACATGTTAAAGGGACAGTTGAGCCATTTTAGTGGACCAATCATACTTTAATCTCCGAAAGGAGAATTTTTTAGCTTAACCAATCAGTTCACAGTGTTCACAGCTCACCGTTGAAATTTGAGCCTTCAAATCCATGTGTGTCCAGAATTATCCGCAATTGAATGTTAAAATGATGACTCGTCAATTTAAGATACTCTGTGATATATAGAAAAGATATATATAGAAATAGTGAGTAAAATTCCCAGTTTGAACTGTTTTTAAAGGAATTATATGATTTTCATTCATTTCTAGTTTTTCTGAAGACTATTTACATATATTCAAGACTAAAATCAACCCCCCAAAATGGCGCATCTGTCCTTTTAAAATAAAATCAAGTTTTACAGAAGTTTTGCCATCAGTTATAAAATATTAAGCACGGTAATTAGGTAAGGTTAATCAAGAAAAGATCAATTGTTATCCTTGGTTATCTTGGTTGTTTTTGTCTTTTTCCATAAGTTTTAAAAATATCAAGGGGTGATAAGTATGTACTGAAAATGTCCAAATAGCAAACCTGTTGTTGCAAACCAAAATCTTCTTTACATATAACACAAGGTTGTTTGGAATCTTCTCTAATATTGGATTTAATTTTGACACCATTCCATTCAGCTTCTGTTAATAATTGTTTCGGTGCATCAACTAATCCAAACTTTTGAGCTGTAATATGAAAGAAATGAGACATGGTGTTTTCTGACCTTGAATATACATGATACAAGAAAATACAATATTTCCTCCAAACAACTCAAGGTTAATAATTAGACTATACTGTACGACAGTACAAAAATAGGCATTTAAAAAACATATGGCCATCCCTACCTAACCCTAACAAAGTCACTTAATATCATCCTTGAAAATCTAAAATGGCTTCACTCTTTAAAACAAAACCCAAACTAGCAGCCATAGAGAACACGCATCGTGATGCTGCAAATAGCCAGTGTGATGTAGAAAACCATGACAAGTCTTAAAGGTGTTAACAGGACAGTAGTCAGAAGACAGAAAGCCGAAGATAATACATGTGATACAGGAAAAAATGAATCCAAACTTGATTAATTTAATAGGACTTATAGCACAGCATCCCTGAGAACTGTGGTTCCTGTCATTCCAGATATTTGGGATATCTTCATTCAGTACTGATAAACACCCCACTTTAGTCGACACAGTTGATTTGATATTAATCATATTTTATTACAACTGAGTGAAAGGGATTTGACGACAATTTTAAAAAAACTTTTAGAAAACTTTGTTACAACTAAGATTATAAAGTATTATAGACAGAAATAACAGTATGGACAAGAACCACTGTAAAGATATAGAATACAAACCTAGAGTTAATGGTGGAGGTTTTATATCTAAAACAAATTCTTCTTCTTTCTTAACCTTTACATTGTCTTTCTTTACTAAAAAAAACCCAAAATATAAAAATTCATTTCTTAATTCATCTTTTGTAAGGATGGTCATCTTAAGCAGAGGTAATTTTAAAATTTGTGCAGGGTAATAACACAAATACAATAGATAGATATCTAACCATGAAAGGGGTAACAGAAAGAAAAAAGGTTTAAAAACCCTGATATAAATGGATTGTAAGATTTCACCATTTCATTTCTTTCTTTGTTCAATGTTTAATGATTTAAAAGTGAGGAGGGAGGGGCAGGGCTGATCCAGCCTTCATTTTTAAGAACCATGTATCGTTAATACTTAGTATATTTAAGCTAAAGGTTGCTTCCATCAAAGGGAGCTGATAACTATATTCTAAAAGAGACTATTTTCATACCTCTATTTCCAGTGTCTACCACTGATTTGATTTCTTTCTTCTGTTTAGATTTTGCAGCTGGTCCTATGCCTATTTTTCGAGGTCCGAATGTTTTTCCTAAAGCTAATGTCCTGACCCAATGGTCTTGTAAAGCTACTGCTGTTAATATTACACTACTGTTTGAATTGCCAGGGTTCTGAAATAAAATTTTATTTATAGAAACAGGAGAAGACCAGCGTAGGAAGATACACCTAAAGTATTGCCATGACAATATTTACCCAAGAAAAGTGTTCATAGGCTGCACAATGTGTCATTAAGTGGTTCGGAGGATAGGTAGGCCGAGCTCTCCGATGATGTAGAGAATCCTCATTAAAAAATGAGTCAGATTGCTGCCCCATTTTAAGACATAACCTATATAAAATTACAATTAAAACCATTAACCAAAAATTTAATGTAAACAAAACGAAAGTAGAAATTAGTTACCTTGACAATTACGACAACAAATACATTTTCGGAAAGATTTGTATAAATTACTAACCTTCTTGGAGGTTTCTTTTGATCTCAGGTTTCTATTCGACATCCCAGTTTTCAGTTTTACAGCAAAAGTGTCAAATGAAACTGTTTTAATTGAAAAATAAACAATTTAAAACTTTAAAATTGCAGTGCTACGCGAGCCGACATGTTTTTTTGCTCGATTGTCCACATAATAAAGTAAAGAAGATCTAATTCAGACTGGATAAAACTATCTACCGGAAAATGTCTACACGCATGGGCAATGAATAAATTCTTGTAAACAAACTTCTGTCAAGCAGTCAAGCATTAATAGAAAAAAGGTTTCAGCAATTCTCTGTAATGTTACAGAGTTTTATTTGAGAAAAAAAAGAAAACCATTTTTCTGAAGAAAATTTATTCAAGATGGCAGAGTCAGATCCCATCACGATCGTAAGTAAATCTTAGTGTAGCTGTTATTTTGAACCGAAGACGATATATTTGGTGTCCATGAATTGCCAACGTTTTCAATTATTTCAAGTTACTTACAATGGATATCCATTGGACTGTGATTAAGAGTATTTAAACAGACTAAAGCAATCTTCTACTGTGTTACTATCTCTCCATTTTGTCTCCAGTAATAAGCTTAAGGAAGGAAGCCGCGAACAGATGACTCTGTTATTTAGAGGTTTGCTTGCTAGCCTTGTTGGCCAAAATCTTCAAAGGTTGATTATCATCATCACTAACTATTCAATTTCAGGCCAAACTGAACTATTACTGTAGAGAGAAGTATTACAGTCATATGGAAAGTGTGGCGTCGGAAAGTTTACAGAAATACGGAAATGATCCAGTCTTGAAATTCTTTATAGCTTATTCTAAAATTCTACAAGGTAAGAAAGATATTAATTGTTGTTAAAAGAAAAATTCCCCAATAACTAAGCTCCTTAAAATGCACACCAAGCTGACAATCTCAATCCTAAGTGGTATCCGGTGTTAAAATTCTTTATAGCTTATTCTAAAATTCTACAAGGTAAGAAAGATATTAATTGTTGTTAAAAGAAAAATTCCCCAATAACTAAGCTCCTTAAAAAGCACACCAAGCTGACAATCTCAATCCTAAGTGGTATCCGGTGTTCCGAAGATGTTGCCTTTATTGAAAGACTTCATCACAAGGCTATTATTGTTCAATGTATACTTACTGCGGCACGGTTACAAACTTCTACAAGGTACAACATATTTATGGTGGTAAAAAGGAAAATGACAATAAAAGGGCAAACAATTCAAACATTCAAAGGCTGTGATTTGATTTTTCAGCTGGTAGTTAATATGTTCATGAAACCAATGTTAACTGTCCATGTAAATACATTTTCTTTCGTTTAATTTTTTCAGGGAGGTATCAGGAGGGTATAAGAGAACTGGATGTATTAAAAGATAAACGTGACGTCAATATCTGTTCCTTAATGGCCTTGATATACGCTCATAAAGTCCAGCAGACTGTTGGTAAGTTTCATTAGTTTATTCTGAATTAGACCTTTCATGCTGTCCTCCTATATTGGTATTGCTTGTTTTATAAATATACAGACCATCATGTAGACTTTACAGATCTCTTCACTCTCAGCATTATCATCTTTTATACCTTGAATTATCTAAAATAGCTTTGAACTAACGAAAAGGAAAAGCTCAATCGGTAGAGAAGTAATTTGTCGCCATTTAGACAAATTCTGATGCCTCTTCCAGTGCGTTTGAGAGTCAACCAGGTGTCAGCTTTCAACCCATATCACTTACCTATTCTGAAGTATAGTACCTTATATTGATAGGACTGTTTAACATCAAGAGTGTGTTGTTTTCATTGAGTTACTGGCTACCTGTTATAGTTTCACCATTTGATCTCAACCGTAAAATTTGGTTGTAATATTTTGTAGATCGAGAGGCTGTACAGGAATTAGAAGGAAGATTGAAGGATGAAAGAAAACAAGCTGGAGAAGTAGTAAGTTTTTTGTCTTTTTCTCATATTACATTTTACTTTTATAATTTAGTAGTTTTATTACTATTATTTTTATTTGTTAAATTATATTTTATTTCTCTAGTTTCATGCTGTTTAAAGTGATACTACGTCTTAGAATGAACATAAAATTTAAGTTCTGGAAAAGGTCACTATCGGTCTATATTCATCAGTGAACTTACCTGGTGTCATAAAGTTACAACAGAATCCCTGTAAAATCTAGAAAATTGGAAAATTCATAAAACTAAGTAATTGTCGAAAAACGCTTAATCTTGATATTAAGTGTTAAATTATGATTTGGTATGGGTTGGAGCAGCTTTCGAGTGGATAGAGACGAGTGGATAGAGACGCAGAGTAAAATAAACATAAACTTTAATGATGAGCCCTTAGTAAGATAAGCTCAATATAAAGTAAATAATCTGATGCTCGGCGACGGTGATGCACCACAATATTGTCAAGTGCCTTATTAGGTCAATATTGTTACACAGAGCACATCCTCATGAATCAAAATAATAAGTAGGTGTAGACAGAATTCAAAATGGTAGAAAATGGGAAATTTTGAAATTGTTTTAAGCCAACATTCTCATTTATTTTTTTAACTTGATTCAAATATTATTAACCCAAACCATTAAGAGTATTTGATGAGTTTTCAAAATTTGTCAAGAGTTGTAATATCGTGTTTTTCAGGGTTTATATTTTGCTGGTTTGTTTATGTTCCACGCTGGTAAACCTGATAAAGCCAGAGAATATATTGACAGAACATTGAAACAAAATGCTGAGTTTAAAATGGTAGGTTTCATTCTCTAGTTTGTTTGTTAAAGAGATTGTAAAGAGGTTTTCTTAACTTTTATATGTGTCAGGGACACTGATAGCTTCAATTTGCACCATTCCAATTTTCAATAAGATGTCTGTGGGTCTTAAAAATCCACTAAAAGTAATCGTTCAAAGGGTAGGTTTCTAGGGTTCTAATGTCTTAGAAGTCCCATTCAAGACTGATAACAATTTCAATTTGTCCAGTATACTGGTCGAAGGGGCACACGTAGATAAAGCACCTAGTAGTTTGGATGAGACAATAAACCAAAGCTGTGCAAGTTAAAGATTCCTTGACAGTCCTGGTAATAATTTCTGTTACTCTGCATGGCATTACCTGTCCTCAATATTAACCGGTGCATGAAATACCACTTCAAAAGTCCTAGTGTGATAATATCAAATTGCTGCATTCTGTGTTACAAGAATGGTGGTTATTGCAGTCAAGGTATAAGATGAATGTGTGATGCTATGTCTCAATTACAGGCGTTAGTTCTAAAAGGTTGGATTGAGTTGATGAGTGGACGAGAAGCCAAGAAATCAATCAAATATTTTGAAGATGCTATGAGGTAAGATTTGATTTAGTTAGTGTAGTCTACAGTAGATACTCACATTTCACCAAGGATTCTTTTAAAAATTGACCCGAAACATTTTGTTAATCGATTGTCATCTTGAATGGACCCCAATTTGACCCCGTTTAGTCACATTGCTTGAAAATGTATTGTTTCATAAATGAAAAATAAGAAAGATTAGGGACCCTTTCCATTTTGATGACATAAATTTCAGCCTCGATGGATCTAAAGATATCGATGCTCTCTTTGGAAAATCTAAATTTATGGAGAACCGAAGAAATTATAGTGGTGCTCTAGAAATAGTGAACCAGATTGTTGTGTCGTTTCCAAACTTCACTCCTGCCTTAGTGGAGAAGATGAGACTACAGTTGGCCTTACAAGATTGGGAACAGACCATCGAGACCGCTCAAAGGTAGGATCTTGATCTGGATCAAGTCTTGTTGCCTAGTGATGCTGTAGGCTTGGTAAAAAATTCCCAGAAAATGTGTTGTAAATATGGAATTTTTGGTTGATTGTAGGATTTTTTCCCCATTATTCCAGTTGACCCTGCTGTATGGGTACAGATAATCCTGGAAAGATCATTGTCAAGAGGTTTGACCTAGGATCAGCTGGCTGAAAGGATCCTCATGAACCTGAGTTGTTATCTGTGTAAGATCATTGTCAAGAGGTTTGACCCATGACCAGCTGGTATAAAGGATCCTCGTGAACCTAAGTTGTTATCTGTGTAAGATCATTGTCAAGAGGTTTGACCTAGGATCAGCTGGCTGAAAGGATCCTCATGAACCTAAGTTGTTATCTGTGTAAGATCATTGTCAAGAGGTTTGACCTGGGATCAGCTGGTTGAAAGGATCCTCATGAATTTAAATTGTTATCCGGATAAAAGCTATTGATCAAGATTTTCACTGTATAGAAGCTATCAAATATCAAGCATTATCTTACATGTGTCGAGAGGGACAGTTTGAAAAGGAAAGTACATTATTTACATTATATTACATTATATTTACATTATATTACATTATATTTACATTATATTTACATAATATTTACATAATATTACATTATATTTACATAATAGTTACATAATATTACATTATATTTACATTATATTTACATTATATTACATTATATTTACATTATATTTACATAATATTTACATAATATTACATTATATTTACATAATATTTACATAATATTACATTATATTTACATTATATTTACATAATATTTACATAATATTTACATTATGTTTACATTATATTTACATTATATTTACATAATATTTACATTATATTACATTATATTTACATTATATTACATTATATTTACATTATATTTACATTATATTTACATTATATTTACATTATATTTACATTATATTTACATAATATTTACATTATATTTACATTATATTTACATAATATTTACATTATGTCTACATTATATTTACATTATGTTTACATTATATTTACATTATATTTACATTATATTAACATTTTCATAATTACATTTTCTCATTTACTTTTTCACATTTACATTTTCCATGGTATCAAATTTGATAAAAGTGTTTTGATAAGTGGTCTTTATTTATAAGATTTGTAATAATTTTGATTAATTTTCAGGCGAGTACTAAGATAGGTGATTTGATAACATCTATTGATAGATTTGAGTCGCATAACGCCCACCTGTATTGTCATATGGCTCAGATATTCAGTCGGCTGGTAAGTAGATTAAATATATGATGATATTATTAGTTTCCTTTGTTTGAAATGAAAATGCTATCTTTAATATCAAAGGAGCTTTGAATCATGAAACGTTTAGGTTTAGTGGAATTGCAAGACTCACAGATGTTGATTGAAAAGAGATTTGGTCAAGGTCCAGCTGGTAGACAGGACCCTGTTTTTTCTTAGTTTTAATTTGATTATGGTATCTCTCAATGTTAAATATTCAGAGCCTAAATTGTTGTCCATGTAGAATCTATGCTGGAAGATATAGCCAAGATCCAACTGGTAGACAGGATCCTCAAGAACTTATGTCATTACCACTCACTTAGTTGATTGTGTTTTATCATTGTTTTATGTATTTCTTATGAAACAGGGTCGTCAAATATTTGATATTATTTATATTTCAGTGTGGACGTAATGGTCTGATATTACAACAGACGTACACTCTAATAGAGAGAGCCGTTAGTATTGATGGTGATAACTCACAGTTTGTTAACGAACTAGGCTATCAGTTATTATTACAAGGCAAAGTGAGGGATGCTTTACGTTGCTATAGAAACGCTATGAAAATGGATGAAAGCAGTGTTCCTTCTCTAACAGGTAATTGTTCGGATTGTACATGTGACTAATTGTGCTATAGGCTATGCACGGTTGTAAATAGTAAAAGAGTAAGCTAACTATGCTAAACTTTGGTTTCTGTAAGCACCATGATCACATTTTTGTTTGGAGTTCAGTACTATATAAATATAGATATCATTATAACGCTATCCTGGCAAAATTTCCCTCATTACTCAGTATGATTTTTGACAGGAATGTTGTACAGTATATTTTTTACTATAGGGATAATTCAGTGTCAACTGATAGAGAACCAACTAGATGACGCTTCACAGCAACTAGAATTCCTGAATGAGATACAGCAAACCATTGGTCGCTCAGCTGTAAGTCTTTTTCTTATACTTGATGTTTTTCTTATCAATCTGTTTAAAATACAGATCAGGCCATGCATTCTCAAAACAATCTTAGCGCTAGGATGTCCTAGAATCAATGTTAGAAGATAGGAACCTAGCACATCCTAGAATCAATGTTAGAAGATAGTAACCTAGGATATCCTAGAAACAATGTTCAAAGATAAGAACCTAGGACATCCTAGCGCTAAGATCGTTTCAAGAATACGTGGCCTGGTTCCAGTACATCAAAAAATCTTACGATCAATTTTTGAGGTAAATATGGTAGATCTCGATATAAGATTAAACAGTAACGACAATTATTCATCGTAATATATTTCGAGAAACAGGGACTTGTATTTTCTATTTTGCGTTTATAAAGTTGAAATCTAGGTTTATTGATGTATAATTTCTGGTTTGAAGATTAGTTACACCACAGTCAGTCATCACTGTAGAAATTTTGACATTTCCCATGCTATCTTCACAGTGTCTAGCTTTTACTAACTTACATCTAATACCTTGGTGTGAGTGGGTGAACGAAGTTTGTAAATGAAGCAATCTTATTAGATTGTACACTAGCCAATACAGCCAATCAGAACCCTTGACAAGTTACATACACAACCATATTGTTTACAGTCTTTCTGTTGAGGTCTCTGATTGGCTGTATTTTCTAGCGTACAATCCAATTCATTCTTGAATGTACAAACTTTCGAGATACAAGAAAAGTGCGTAATGGTGTCAGGGTATTAGACAAAGTTTGCAATACGGTGATATTGTGAAGATGTTGCCATGCTTTGTATACATTGATTGCTAGGTACGTTGCCATGGTAAATTATTCAAGATGTATTTTGTTACCATTACAGGAACTATCTTATTTGACCGCCATGATGGCACAGAAGAAAAATAAGTCTCCAGAAAAAATTATAGAATATTTAAATGATTGTATTGAAGTACATTTTGCTGGATTGAAGGTTGGAATTTTTGTTTTTTTATATTACAAACGCCCAAATCTCTTTATTCAATGTAATAGAAGACACACGGACCATTTCACAAAGTTTGTTTTATACTGTAATAGTCTTATTTTTCTATAACTTGTACTTCTAAAGTTTCATGATAATCCAGAACAGTATGATAATTCAGAACAGTATGATAATTCAGAACAGTATGATAATTCAGAACAGTATGATAATTCAGCTTATTGAAGGACCATTTTACAAAGGTTTTGTTTTTTGTTGAATTTACCTGATCCAAATAATAGGATACCCTATAGCACAACTCATGATGGAACAATCAAAAATATAATCTGGTAAAAAAATTATAGTAGTCCTAAAGTCCAGCATGCTTCAAGAGCACAATGGTCAATGAACTGTGAAACATGTCTATATATTACATCTGATATTGTCCTGTATTTATACAAAATACATACCGTTAATATTTCTACAAATATCTCGTGCTGCGTGAGATTTTTCGACATCTATTTTGATATGAATTACACGTTATAAAAATCTTCATTAGCCAACATGGTGCAGAAAAGTAGGACGTTAAACTCCCTTTCATTTTATTTTATTTCAAGACTTAAACAGGAACAGTAACGTGAAACAGTAGGATGTAAAACTCCATTCTATTTCAGGGTCTACCATTAGGAGTCCAGTATTTCTGTCTCATGAATCCTGATTTTTTACTCCAAGTTATGAAGACGTATCTACAGTATGCACCTCAAGTAGTAAGTGTTTGTTTTTTATACCAATTTGAAAAAGAATTTTGACTAAATCTTTTCTCCCTGTGTTCAACATTACTCCAGTTTTTGTAAAAGAACATTGTGCGATTGTGAAAATATTTGAGATACTACAAACTCTTCATTATAACTTATAGATATTTCAAAATATATTCTGTCAATATCTTATCATAGAATGTTGTGATTCCCTGTCGAACAGAACATAGATCATTTGATGCCAACGCTTCTTAACATGTTTCATTTTTGTTCCTTAAATGTGGGATAATAAATTTATAAATAGGGATTAGGGTGGTTGAAAAGAAACTAGTTACTATTGGCAACCAACTAGTCGCTATTCAACAGAAGACACTAGCACAGGGTTAAAGTAAAGTTTAAAAATATTTTGATCATGCTTATTGTATTTGATCTAAAGATAGAATAATTTTTGATAATTTGATTTTAGCCTGTCCCTGCTGGCCAGCCACCTAATCCTGTATTAAAGAGGTGTCAACAAGTCCTAGATCCACTAACCCGAGCCGTACCTGGTCTGATGGAAGCTGTTTATCTTTTGGCTAAAGTCAGGTTTTTATCTGGTGAGTAGTCGTATTATTTTGTCACAGATTAGATCTAATTTTTTTAGGTCTTTTTTCACCTTAATTCTCCTGATGATAGATTTTGTGTCCAAAACACATCAAGAAATTGAAATGACGAATCGATATTGTAGTATTTTGTCACAGTTTAGATCTAATTTTGTTAGGTCTTTATGTACCTAATTGTCCTGATGATAGATTTTGTGTCCAAAACATATCAAGTAATTTAAATGACGAATCGATATTGTATTATTATATATTGTAGGAGATATTGAAAATGCCCAGACGACATTACAACATTGTTTAGAACAAGACGCTACGTTTTCTGATGCTCATATCTTGATGGCACAGGTCTGTATTCAATCTTTAATCTTTGTAGATTTTTGTTGTGTATCTACTTTAAGGGATTGTAAAGAGGTGTAAACTTAATGTATTTTTTTTTATGGTGGCATTTTGTTTTGTATTTACGCGATGGATTTGTAAAGACCTTTTGTAAGACTCTATTCTATCTTTGGTGGTATTTTCATGTAAAAGGGATTGTAAAGAAGTGTTCTTAACTTTTAATGTACACAATGGGTTTTTTGTGGCATTTCTCCTTAAAGGGATTGTAAAGACATTTTCTGTAATTTTATGTGTATCAGGGACACCGATAGTATTGATTTGTCCCATTCCAATTTTCAGGCAGACATCAGTGGGTCTTGCAATTCCACTAAAACTAAGTATTTTATGATGTCTCTATGGCACTACAGATAATATCTATTTGAGTCTTTGGCTATTTTCCTACAGCATGGAAAGCTACTCTACAATCAATCTCATTGTCATCAATTGCTTTTAATAATAATATTTATTTTATGAATACAGAAATGGAATGGAAAAAAGACCCAATAGTTAATGAATTATTCTAATTTTAGATTCATTCAAGTCAGAATAATTTTAAGCTAGCAAACCAATCTCTAGAGGTTGGACTAAGTTATAATTTCGAGGTTCGGGACCATCCATTATATCACCTGATTAAAGCCAGAATATTGAAAAAACAGGGATCTTTGACAGAAGCTGTTCAAACTTTACAAATGGCCATGGCCTTACCTGGAATCAAAAAGACAGGTACAATTTCTTTTTTGCTTACCGGGTATTACTTTTCCCTTCGTCATCAATTGCTTATAAACATTCTAGAAGGCACAATTCTTGACGGATTTTGACGAAACTTGGTGTGAGTGTTTGTAATCACCAAAGGATGAACCGTATAGAAAATAAAAAATTACAAGATATTAATATTGCCCTTGTTCTTCAAAATGAGTTCAATTTTTAGCTCGTAAACACTCCAGAAGATACCTTGAGATCTAACTGGAAACTCATCCATGATTGAACCCCCCACCCCACACAGAACAGTTCCTCAAGAAGGAACTAATCCATACCACAATGTGACAACACAGTTAATATTTCTATGATTAATATATCAGGTAGAGATAATATTTCTATGATTAATATAACAGGTAGAGATAATATTTCTATGATTAATATATCAGGTAGAGATAATATTTCTATGATTAATATAACAGGTAGAGATAATATTTCTATGATTAATATAACAGGTAGAGATAATATTTCTATGATTAATATAACAGGTAGAGATAATATTTCTATGATTAATATAACAGGTAGAGATAATATTTCTATGATTTATATAACAGGTAGAGATAATATTTCTATGATTAATATATCAGGTAGAGATAATATTTCTATGATTAATATAACAGGTAGAGATAATATTTCTATGATTAATATATCAGGTAGAGATAATATTTCTATGATTAATATATCAGGTAGAGATAATATTTCTATGATTAATATAACAGGTAGAGATAATATTTCTATGATTAATATAACAGGTAGAGATAATATTTCTATGATTAATATAACAGGTAGAGATAATATTTCTATGATTAATATAACCGGTAGAGATAATATTTCTATGATTAATATAACAGGTAGAGATAATATTTCTATGATTAATATAACAGGTGGAGATAATATTTCTATGATTAATATATCAGGTAGAGATAATATTTCTATGATTAATATAACAGGTAGAGATAATATTTCTATGATTAATATAACAGGTAGAGATAATATTTCTATGATTAATATAACAGGTAGAGATAATATTTCTATGATTAATATAACAGGTGGAGATAATATTTCTATGATTTATATAACAGGTAGAGATAATATTTCTATGATTAATATAACAGGTAGAGATAATATTTCTATGATTAATATAACAGGTAGAGATAATATTTCTATGATTAATATAACAGGTAGAGATAATATTTCTATGATTAATATAACAGGTAGAGATAATATTTCTATGATTAATATAACAGGTAGAGATAATATTTCTATGATTAATATAACAGGTAGAGATAATATTTCTATGATTAATATAACAGGTAGAGATAATATTTCTATGATTAATATATCAGGTAGAGATAATATTTCTATGATTAATATAACAGGTAGAGATAATATTTCTATGATTAATATAACCGGTAGAGATAATATTTCTATGATTAATATAACAGGTAGAGATAATATTTCTATGATTAATATAACAGGTAGAGATAATATTTCTATGATTAATATAACCGGTAGAGATAATATTTCTATGATTAATATAACAGGTAGAGATAATATTTCTATGATTAATATATCAGGTAGAGA